TGAAATTAGAACCCAATATTTCCTTTCTCGTATTATATTGATGTGGGTTTCTGCTCTAGATCACCTCATATTAGTTGATGTTATAGTTCACTAGATTGAATTTAAGAACTTTCTTATCTGAACTTGAACCGGACTGATATAATTTTTTTCCAGATTTCACACCTTTGTTGTATTTGTAAATCTAATGCCATCTAAATTTCAGGTCGTCACTAATATCTCAAAAGTGTTTCCAAAGGATACTGAAGCGCCACCTGGAGGTGTAGATGATATGACTAAGCTTTCATATTTGCATGAACCTGGAGTTATGCAAAACCTGGCTGCTAGATATGAACTTAACGAAATATATGTAAGCCTTATGATGTCCTTGACGATTATTATGTACAAGCACTATTTGTTTGTCATGTGGACCTGCAAAGAAGGATTTACCAGTAACTTTCTCCTTAAAGCCATGATCTAATTGTTATTATGTCATCATTCACAGACATATACTGGGAATATTCTGATTGCAATCAATCCTTTTCAAAGATTACCTCATCTATATGATACTCACATGATGGAGCAATACAAAGGAGCAGCACTTGGAGAGCTTAGTCCTCATGTTTTTGCAATTGCAGATGTTGCTTACAGGTGATCTTTGATGAACATGCAAAATGGTTTTATTTCTCAGTATCTTGTGTCTTTGGGGGATCTGTGGGTTGGGCTGAGGTGAAGGGACATTTTCACCTGTTTACCTGTCACTTTTTGCGATCAGGGCAATGATCAACGAAGGAAAGAGCAACTCCATCTTAGTTAGCGGTGAAAGTGGTGCGGGTAAAACCGAAACAACAAAAATGCTTATGAGATATCTTGCACACCTCGGTGGTCGGTCTGGAGTAGAAGGACGGACTGTAGAACAACAAGTTTTAGAAGTAAGATCGGAGTTCACTTTGATGTGGCTTACATTTAATTTTGTTCTGCAAAAAAGGTTATATCTAGAATAAAATTTGATGTTGAGAAACTGTTGTCTTGTTCTGTATCGTATTGGTCATATATTACAGTCAAATCCAGTACTTGAAGCATTCGGAAATGCCAAAACAGTCAGAAATAACAACTCTAGGTGAGTGACTGTGTCAAACTTTTTTGATCAGTGTTAACACGATTTGTTAGTTGATACTAGCATAATTCTTTTTATTGTTTGAAATTTATTTGAAAAATGCTATAGAAAGTGTAATGACTTTGATAATGTTGCATTCATGCAGTCGTTTTGGTAAATTTGTTGAAATCCAATTTGACAAAAGTGGGAGGATATCTGGAGCAGCGGTTAGAACTTACTTGCTGGAGAGATCTCGTGTTTGCCAGATTTCAGATCCTGAAAGAAACTACCATTGCTTCTATCTTCTATGTGCAGCGCCTCCTGAAGTATTTGTTCTCATTTTTTTTTCTTGTAGCTTAGTTCCCAATTTCTTCAAAGCTTTTGCATCTGATATGTTTCTGGAGGTGCATTATCATTTGAGAGGTTTTATTCTGCAGGAAAGAGAGAAGTATAAACTGGGAAGTCCAGAATCATATCATTATCTCAACCAGTCTAAGTGTTACAAACTGGATGGAGTAAGTGATGCTGAAGAATACCTTGCAACCAGAAGGGCTATGGATATTGTTGGAATCAGTGAGGAAGAGCAGGTTATTATTTCCCTGATGACTTTAGTGCTTACCGGTATATTTTGTAAATATATTTGTAAGACTGTGTGGAATTTTTCCAGGATGCAATATTTAAGGTTGTTGCCGCAATTCTTCATCTTGGCAATATTGAATTTGCCAAAGGGGAGGAGATTGATTCCTCTGTGATTAAGGATGAGAAGTCAAGATTTCATCTGAATACGACTGCCGAGTTACTCAAGTAGGGATATAGTCTTTTTTTGGATATTGAGTGGATGTTCCTATCTGGATCCACGTGGAATTGTGTATGATGAATTTAATTCAATAGGTGTGATCCCAAGAATTTAGAAGACGCACTAATTAAGCGTGTGATGGTCACACCTGAGGAAATTATCACAAGGACTCTTGATCCAGAAGCTGCCTTAGGTAGCAAGGATGCTTTTGCAAAGACTATATATTCTCGCTTGTTTGACTGGTAAGTGAAAACTGTGCTTCAGTGATCTAACTTGTATAAACATACTTCTACAATATTGTGAACATGAATGTTTGCAATTTGATTTTGAACTCTTGTATGTATTGTTTACAGGATCGTGGAAAAAATAAATATTTCAATTGGGCAGGATCCTAACTCAAAAGCAATAATTGGAGTTCTTGATATATATGGGTTTGAAAGTTTTAAGCACAACAGGTAAGTTCTTACCTAGATATGTCATTTGCAATGTACATTTAAGATATTGGTGTCATACTGACATTCCTTACATATACAACAGTTTTGAGCAGTTCTGTATCAATTTCACCAATGAAAAACTGCAGCAGCACTTTAATCAGGTCCTTTCTCTTTCTTTTGAAGTCCTACTTCTTTGTAATACGATCACTTGGATCTTATTGGAGTTTTTGAATTGATTATTTCAGCATGTATTTAAGATGGAACAAGAAGACTATGAGAAAGAACAGATAAATTGGAGCTACATAGAGTTTGTTGATAACCAAGACGTTCTTGATTTAATTGAAAAGGTTTGAGACTGAGATGATATTTCATTTATCGTACTGCTTATTTGATCTATTTAATTGTTCATAAATAAGTATGTTATTGGTCAGTTTATGGATGAATGAATATTCCTTATACTCTGTTTCTGTCTATGTGGCGTCTCTCAGCCAATGACATTATAACTTTATTTACTTTTATTTTCGTCGTTATTTATCGCAGAAACCAGGAGGAATAATTGCACTACTAGATGAAGCTTGGTATGACTCCTCATACTTTATTTTCAGTTAGTTTCCTATTCTTGTAGATTTTCATATTCGCTCGTATATTTCTCTAATGTGTTCATCCATGTGGCTGGATTTTCTTATCTCTATTCATTATGCCATTTTTCTGTTATTATTGATGAATTTGTCAAATAATTTCTAAAGATTTAGCATTCTCTTTCCATTTATATTATGCATATAATGTATTTGTCACTGATACTCTTGTTTGTTGCAGTATGTTTCCTAAATCTACTCACGAGACATTCGCTCAGAAAATGTATCAGACCTTTGCCAAAAATAAGCGCTTCATCAAACCAAAACTCTCACGGACCAATTTTACAATATCTCACTATGCAGGGGAGGTAATGATGCATGTATTGAAGTATTTGCTCTTGTGCAGAAAAGAGCTGGGGAATAAAAAAAATATATTGGACACCTGTGTAAAGATTCTTTGTACCATCTTCATTGCAGGTGACATATATGGCAGACCTGTTCCTGGATAAGAACAAAGATTATGTGGTGGCAGAACATCAAGACTTATTAACAGCTTCAGAGTGCCCTTTTGTAGCTGGTTTATTTCCTGCTCTTCCAGAAGAATCATCAAAGTCCTCCAAATTTTCTTCAATAGGTTCACGTTTTAAGGTTCTTTCGAATCCCTGACCGTAGTTTAATTCATTATCCCTCTATGAAGGCACTTGTGCTGGACTGAGTTTTGGAGGTTTACCCAGGTGATAGAAACACCTAGTACAATAAAAGTACTTCAACCTCAGGCTTGTTTAATTCCTGATCAGTGTCAATCATTATGGTGCTGAATAAAGCAACGAGATTAGCCAATAATTGGGAGTTATAGGATTTATATGTTCATATCTTCAGAAGAACATAGTAGCCAATAGTTCAGAAGATATATGCATAAGATTTATATTTTGTGTTTGCAGCTACAACTACAATCTTTAATGGAGACATTAAGCTCAACAGAACCTCATTACATCAGATGTGTAAAACCGAACAGTGTTCTCAAGCCTTTCATTTTTGAGAATGTTAACATAATTCAGCAACTGCGATGCGGTGTAAGTATTCTATGAAGCCTAATTCTTGTTCAAAATTCAATTTAATCTAGCAGGTTGAGTTTGACTACAAATTCTCATATTCAGTTTCTTACTGAGATGTGCTAAAACGTTTCATTATGATATAGGGTGTTCTTGAAGCCATTAGAATCAGTTGTGCTGGATATCCCACCAGACGTACATTTTATGAATTTCTTCTTCGGTTTGGTGTTCTGGCTCCTGAAGTTTTGGAAAGGAAGTAAGTCTTTTTTGGGCTGCTTGATTCTTTCTCGAACTTAAACATGTGTATCACCATGCACCATGCTTTCTTTCTTCCTGTTTTCATCTGTTATTATAGTTCTTTTACTTTTTCTTTTTGCGCTTGCAAATAAGCCCTTAATAATTGCCCTGCAGCTCTGATGACAAGGCTGCATGTCAGATGATTTTAGAAAAAATGGGATTAAAGGGCTATCAGGTAATTTACGTGAATATGGTGTTTCCATTAAATACCTTTATTGACTCTTAACTTAATTACAAGATCCATGACAGAGGTTTGACCAACCCATTAATTAAATGAAAATATCATTATTTATTCTTATTTCCCTCGCAACCTCACGAAATTAAATATTCAGATGTATGTGGAAATCAATATACAACAAATGAGAACTCGGTTAAGTACTATAAACTGCTATATTTTAATATATTTAACTATTTATCATAATGTTACTTTAGATATCTCAATATGAATAAGTACTATCATTCTTGAAGTATTAAAGAATTATTAAATTCAAACTTCTATAAAATAGAAAACAATTTAGATGATAAAGTTAAAATTTAAATACAGCTCGAGAGTATTAGTAAAAAAAAAATTAACAGCTTATTGTATTTTAATTAACTTTAGTTCTGTACTTCTGTTACTTATTAATGCTATAAAAAAATGTAGATATGTTTAAAGTATTACTCAAAGTACTAAGTTTTATTTTAACTGGTTAACCGTAGTGTATTTTAATTTCCTATCATAAAATTGAAATTTTGATATCTTCAATTTTTTTATGGTTTGTCGTAGGTGTTATTTTTAATTTCAAAATTTAGAGTGGTAGTTAGTTTTTGTAAGTAGGCCTAATCTTAAGTCTACATTATATAATTAACCATTTTCACTTCAGACTGTGGTTTGTGAGGGTTGCACTTACATATAAATCTGGAAGTAATTCATGGACTATGCTTAAATACTCTGTTTGGGTTATAAATACTAAATACTGGCTCTGCTGTCCATGTGACTTGCTCAGACTTACATTTGTAGGGATCAATATTATTTTCTTCTCTAGTTCGACCATTATTGTATCCAGGACATGCATGGAACTATCTTTATGTTATGCTTCTCTATGCAGTTAGGTAAGACGAAGGTCTTCCTACGTGCTGGTCAAATGGCCGAGCTTGATGCTAGGAGAACAGAGGTTCTTGGGAATGCAGCCAGAACACTTCAAAGGCAAATTCGTACTTATATTGCTAGGAAAGATTTTGTTTTGTTGCGAAAAGCTGCTATCCAATTGCAATCGTGTTGGCGAGGTAGGTCTGGATAGATATTCGTTCGGTCTAATTTCAGCTTTCATCACTTATTCAAGAAGAGCATCTGAAACAGTATGGATATCTTAATAGGATGTAGTAGAACCATTATATAATTTGACAGATGAGATAAAGTTTCGAGAATTATAGTAATTCTAAAACAAGAGAATGGTCATAATTTTTAAGTTCAATGCTCAAGGAACCTAGTGACCAGTCTTATTCATACTTGTGTGCACATAAATTTCAATCTCACTTACATAACTTGTCAACTGAAATTTAAGAAAATTCTCCATGTACGTCGTCTAAATTTTATAAGATTTTGTTAACTGTGTCATCTTTCTATTTAATTTTTATTCGTCCAATGGTAACTTTTGTTTTGTAATTGTTTAGCTATATCGGCTTGCAATCTTTATGAGCAATTGCGACGTGAAGCTGCCGCTCTAAAGATTCAGAAGAACTTCAGATATCACACTGCCCGGTTGTCCTACTTAACATTGCAGAATTCTGCTATCATAGTGCAGGCTGGCATGAGAGCAATGACTGCTCGCAGTGAATTCAGATTCAGGAAACAGACAAAGGCTGCAATCAAAATTCAGGTCCTCTTTTTACTTCATACTGCAAAATATCCAACAGAAGATTGGTGGGCCTGGAGAATGCAAGGAAATTGATTTGATGTTGACTATTCGTACATGATTTTGCTGCTTGTGTGCAGGCTCACGTACGTTGTCACAGAGAGTACTCTTATTACAGACGTCTCCAAAAGGCTGCTATTGTTACCCAATGTGGTTGGAGACGACGTGTTGCTAGGAAAGAGCTTCGAAATCTCAAAATGGTTCTGATCTATCTTTTATTTATCTTCATTGTTGGAAACAGGTTTCTTCTTGCTCTTTGCATGAATATTTTGAGTATTGAATCAGGCTGCAAGGGAAACAGGAGCCCTAAAAGAAGCTAAAGACAAGTTAGAAAAGAAAGTAGAGGAGCTTACATGGCGCTTACAGTTGGAGAGGCGATTAAGGGTAACCGAATTGACAAAATTTGAATGATCAATTGCTATTGACTTAACCTGTCTTCCATTACCTTCTCTTTCTTTTTCTGTTGAATATAGACTGAGTTGGAAGACACAAAAGCACAAGAAATCACAAAGTTACAGGAGGCATTGCGCTCGATGCAAATAAAAGTGGAAGATGCAAATGCTAGAGTGATACAAGAACGAGAAGCATCACGCAAAGCAATTGAAGAAGCTCCTCCAGTAATTAAAGAAACCCCAGTTGTGATTCAAGACACGGCGAAGATTGATGCATTAACAGCGGAGGTAGAAAGTCTGAAGGTAAGAACTTACTGTAGGTAACAATTGCTTGAACGGGCAATATTAACAAAACACAAGGACTTTATTTGTAACATCTTTTTTTACTCTAAAAACTTGACTTGGTTAAAGAAACAAAGTGCTATCATCATCATCTAATTGAATCACTTTTGAAGCGGATTCGTTTTTGTGTTTAGGCGTCGCTGCTGTCAGAAAAACAGGCTGCAGAAGAGGCTAAAAAGGCCAGTGCAGATGCTGAGACCAGAAATATGGTTTTGGCTAAAAAATTACAGGAAGCTGAAGGAAAAGTGGATCAACTTCAAGATTCTGCACAGAGGTATATTTACAAAAAGTGACTCTGGAACTTTATAAACTCTTGTTTTGATCAATTAGCTCGGGAAACAATCTTGTTTCCCTATTTCTCCCCTGGAGGAAGGCAGGGGACTGCCCTCATATGTTTCCATGCAGTTCCTTTCTTGATTTTTGTTTCGGCCAGCAAATATCTAAAATTTCTAATAATTAATTGTTGCTTGCTCTGCCCCTGCAACTTTTGTGGTTTGGAATTACAGTTTCTTACCTGTTGGAGAACCAACTTTCTTTCCATGTGACATATGTTTTTCTTAAGTAAAAGGCAAATGGTGTATTTAGAAGCGATAACACCCCCACAAGAATAAAATAAAAAACAAGAAAGTATAAACTCAAATGGCTCGTCTCCCTAAACAAAAGCAAATTACTAGCACCAAATTTATGTACATATTCTGCAGGTTTTATGTATTTGATTGTGATTTTTTCTTCTCTTATGTTAGGCTTGAAGAGAAGCTATCAAACCTTGAATCAGAGAATCAGGTACTTCGTCAACAAGCTCTGACTATGTCACCTACAGGCAAATCAATATCTGCCCGACCCAGGACAACTATTATTCAGGTAATACTAATATACCTGATTTTGTATCATACTTGTTACATGTGGAGGTAAGTCTTATACCTTCCTGGTGAAATTACAGAGAACTCCGGAGAACGGAAATATTCTCAATGGAGAAACGAAGCCAGCACATGTAAGACTATATCATCATTGTGATTTTAAATTTTAGAGATGGAGTATTTGTGTGAGTTTGTTTGGTTTAGATATCTTTAATGCTTATGGCATGTTGCTTATTGTAGGATAAGGCCCTCGTCGTGTCAAATCCGAAGGAGCCTGAATCTGAGGAGAAACCCCAGAAATCTCTTAATGAAAAGCAACAAGTTAGTGCTGCTGGATGTGTATATCAAAATTAGTTCTATTACAGAAGCCTAGTTTTAATAAATTTTGATCTCCGCACCATCAGAATTAATAACTGTGATTAATTTACTTACTCAAATCTGCTGGGTCCACAGGAAAACCAGGACCTCCTGATAAAGTGCATTTCAGAAGATTTGGGATTTTCTGGTGGCAAACCTGTTGCTGCTTGTGTCATTTACAAAAGCCTTCTTCACTGGAGGTCATTTGAGGTTGAGAGGACTAGTGTGTTCGACCGCATAATTCAAACTATAGCTTCATCCATAGAGGTAAATAAATTACAGTACAGATTTAATATATCATCTTTGCATGCGGCTAATTTCATCAGTTGATTGTGTGAAATTTCTGAATAAGTTTTCATAAATTAGACGCTGTTTGATGGGTACTTTCTTTCTTAAATGCACTTGCAACCATTATGACACTAAATTCATTACATCTGTTGAAGGCTCCTGAAAATAATGATGTATTAGCGTATTGGTTATGTAATGCATCCACACTGTTGATGCTGCTTCAACATACACTCAAAGCAAATGGTGCAGCTAGCTTGACCCCCCAACGACGAAGGTCATCATCAGCTTCTCTTTTTGGGAGGATGTCACAAGTATGGACTTTACTTTTACCTATCTCTCTGTGTAATCTGTTAACAATATATTTTAGTTTCTTATTCTCCTATTCTTCTCGATGTTTATTCTGAAGGGATTGAGGGCATCTCCACAGAGTGCTGGACTTTCATTTCTCAACAATAGGATGCTTGGTCGAGTAGATGACTTGCGGCAAGTTGAAGCCAAATATCCTGCTTTGTTGTTCAAGCAGCAGCTTACTGCTTTCCTGGAGAAGATATACGGAATGATCAGAGACAATCTAAAGAAAGAGATTTCGCCTTTGCTTGGTTTATGTATCCAGGTAAATCCAGCATAATGTATTCTTCATGCTATAATGGTTTCTGTAATCGGATTCCAATTGCTAGATTTCTTTCTCTTGGTCTATAAACCTTGTGTATGAGCTTTGGAAATTTTGATCTACAAATGAGGAATGTGAAGACTTTTTTACTCTATTTATTTCCAAGAAACCAGCTTGTAGTACTTTTACGTTTATCCTTTTTCTTCTATATCTTTATTTTCTCGGGTGTTACTAAGATGTTGGATCACTCAAGAGTAAACAGTTAACCATGATTTGGCTGCAAAACGTATTCTTTTGCAGGCTCCCAGAACATCTCGTGCAAGTTTAGTAAAAGGTCGTCAACAAGCTAGTGCTGTTGCTCAACAAACACTTATTGCTCATTGGCAGAGCATTGTAAAAAGCCTAAACAACTACTTGAACATGATGAAAGCAAACTATGTAAGATGCTTAAACAAGTCGGCTTGGCTTTTCTATTGTTGAAAGGACATACTTATTAACTTATGGTGATGTCATTACAGGTTCCCGCTTTCCTAGTAAGAAAGGTTTTCAGTCAAATATTCTCATTTGTCAACGTCCAATTATTCAACAGGCAAGCCCATCGTTTATCATAGAAAATATTCTCTGACAATGCAAGTTTGAATAATTCTCTTTCCGAATTATTTCAGTCTTCTTTTACGGCGTGAATGCTGCTCATTCAGCAACGGGGAATATGTGAAATCTGGGTTGGCTGAATTAGAGCAATGGTGTTGCTATGCAACTGAGGAAGTAAGCTTTCATTTGATTAGTTTCTTTCACCAGCTACCTCAAATTAGGCCCTTACTAACGTATTATTGGTGGACAGTATGTTGGCTCATCTTGGGATGAATTGAAGCATATCAGACAGGCAGTTGGATTCTTGGTAGGGATCAGATTCAGTTTCCTTCCTTCAGGGCTTTTTACCTGACTTTTGATTATATGGATTGCAAACCTAAATGAATCCTTTTTTACTCAAATTCAGGTCATACATCAAAAGCCCAAGAAGAATTTGAATGAAATCAGTAACGAACTTTGTCCTGTGAGTGAACCATCATTCCGCTTTCGTTTCTTTAGGTCATCAGATTTTGTCATTCAGTACGACTATTAAACAATTTCTCATCATTTTGCCAGGTGCTAAGCATTCAACAACTGTATAGGATTAGCACCATGTACTGGGATGACAAATACGGTACTCATAGTGTTTCTTCAGATGTAAGTTCTCTAACTTGAATTTGCCTCACCCTTGTTAAATCTTTTTTTTTTTTTTTTTTTTTTTTTTTTTTTTTTGTATATATATATTTGAAGAACACCCTTGCTAAGTCTATTAGCTATGTTTGTGTCAAAAAATGCTATTTGTTTTCACAGTCTCATTTATCGTCGGTTTCCTGGTCTATCCTTTTTTTGACTAAATAGGTCATTTCAAGTATGAGAGTTTTGATGACAGAGGACTCGAACAATTCCGTGAGCAGTTCATTTCTGTTAGACGATGACTCGAGGTAATTGTTTATATTTTAGTTATATTATCTTTGGTCTTAGTACGTTTTCTGAAACAGTTCAAGTTATCTTTAAATTTTTCCACTGTTAATTAGCGTTGTTAAAAATTTAAATATAATCCTTTTTAGAGAAAATTTACTAGAAATAGCGAAGTGGGTGGAACTGTCCAAAATATTTGCCGATGTAGCCAACCTTTTCATTATTCTCAGAAGTTACTAATTATGTACAGTTTTACAAAAATAGTAAATACATCGTTGAGGTTATGTCTAATTATAGTTAAACCTGCCCAAGTTTGGAAAATTACACAAATCTTGCAAACAGTAACTACTTCACCTCCATCTGGTCGTTGACTAATGGGAAATTGACGATGTAGGCTATTAACATTTTCAAATACTACTTTATTACAAGGTTAAGTGTTGGTAGAAACCAAATCTCAATTGAGATTAGAGTAATATATCAGACCTGATGGTGTTTAGGTGTAATTGACCCAACCACAAGGGAGGTAGTGAGGGACGATATAATTTAGCCTTACGAATGAAGCCTCTCTCAATTTCTATGATCCTGAATTTTGCATTTCTCCACTAGAAACCAAAGACTTGATTCTTGTGCATCAAATTTTTGCGTTAACCAAATATACATTTTGCAGCATCCCCTTCTCTGTGGATGACCTCTCCAAATCCATGCAACAAGTGGATGTTGCTGATGTGGAGCCTCCCCCTTTAATCCGTGAAAATTCTGGGTTCGTATTCTTGCACCAAAGGTCAGATTAATGATGGCTGTGGAGTGTTGAATTCGAAAGTGAAGCTGCATCCAGATATTTGTGCATACATTTCGGGTGTTGTATATGTTTCTTCGCATTTTGCTCGGGCAACGTTATTTACTTGTTGCCTGAGCGAATTCCAATTTCTCCTCTCGTGCCTTATCAACACGAGAGGCAATTGCCAAAAGACCATACGGCTACTAGGTTTGTTTGTAATGATATGCAAATTACAGGCATATAGCATTTGGTGAAATATGTTTGTTTCCCTTGTTTTTGTTTGGGGTGTAAAAGTGATAGAAGTTGGCAGATGTTAGGCGTTTTCGTTTTTGTTTCTGTTGTTTGCAGTGTCTGTAAGGTGTTGTATTTCTTTTGTTGCATATTGGTGTGTCAAAACAACACAAGACACTGTATATATGATGGATTTATTCAATTCATTTTCTCTAGTCTTAGCAAAGAATATTATTTTGACTTATATTTTGGTTTCGACAAAAAGTTTTTATTTATTCTTCTCGATTGGTTGGTAAGATTAACCATAGTTAATGAATTAAATTGGACCTTTTTCGATGTTTGATCAGCCGAATACAAATTTTCGATATTTTCGATCATATCCGCAACTGTGGGAAATTTATGCACTAGACCTCCTATAGTCCAAATACATTATTGGATTCTAGTAAGATTACATAATCTTATATTAACTAATCATATCTTATCAATCAAACTACTTTCTAACAAAAAACAACATATTGAAAAAAGAACAAAATCAACATTTTAAAGAATGAATTATTGAAAAAAAAAAAGAAAAAAGAAAAAAAGAACAAAAAAAGAAAAGAATGAATTATGGTAAGGACTAGAAGAAAACTACATATAAAGAACAACGGTTTATTAAATAAATTCTAATTCTACAACATAGTGAAAATTACAATTTTCACCCCTCAAATTTGCACCAATTTCACATTTGATCCTCTATGTTTACAAAAAACACATTTAGTCCCTCATGTTTCAATAATTTAACACATTTGGTCATTTTTCGTCAATTTACCGTTACACCATCAGTTAAGACATTGACAGGCATATGCTTGATTCCATTAGTCCTAAGGAAAAATTAACGGAAATGACTAAAAATGTTGATTTTTTAAAGCACGAGGGACCAAATGTGAAAATGGTGCAAACTTGAGGGTAAAAACTGTAGTTTTTCCCCTGCAACACATTAAAAAAAAACGAAAGCATATTCACATATCCTTTCCCACTAATCTACAAACAAATCTGATTTTCAGCATAAAAATACAATTACCATCAACTAAACAACAACAAAGCAACATATTAAGTAAATCATCTAAACCAAATTTTTCTCACCACACACACAACACCAAATCTTACAAATCCTTTATTCCGATTCCACAACCACCTCGGACGAATTATCCGATTTCATCAAATTCTCCATCACCGATACAGCACCGAGCTGCTGAGTCGACTCAGCAGGCTGCATCCCCCCGGTTTTCTTCTTCTCCTCCTTGAGGAAAACCTGCCTCGGCATCACCTCCAGTAGAAAGTTCCCGCCATTCCATACAGTTGCAGATACCTTCAGTACTTGAAAAGTCACATGCAACTCATACGACAAGAAAATCGGCACTGTGAGCGCAGTCGTTGCCAAAGTGAACATAGCCTGAAGCAGAATGTACATAAACAGCCGATTCTGATCTCCGAGCAATCCACTCAACCGCCACCATAGGTTGTTCGCTTTCTGTGCTTTCTTCGAAAGTTCCCTATCACAAAATGGCGTACGTGTAAATATATCGAAAGAAAGGGGGCCAATATGGTCCAAGAAAATATATGCAGTGAACGAGAAAAACCTGTAAGAAGTCATAACTTCTGGATCTCGGAGCAGTCTTTGTCGACGAAGCACATCGACTATGAGGAAGTAAAGAAGCTGCCAAACGATGTAAGCAACTAAAGGAACGATGAAAAGCCACGTCCAAAGGTACGATTTGTTTTCTACGTAGGGCCATGATGCTCTATGAGCAGTTCCCTCGGGGTGCATTGCTTCGAAAAATACCGGGTCCCACCATCGTATTGTGAAGAAAACCAATCCTATAAGTCACGTTTGCAATTAAAGAATCAGTTTACTGATTAATGAAAATCACAGAATTCTGTGAAACAGATGCGAAGATTGAGTACTGTTTTAACTGAATCAAAAAGTTCGGCTCGTTTTTCGGTTTTGTATTTTCTAGAATGATGATGGTGCAGTTGTGGCTTCGTTTAATGAATTCATGATTTCAACCCACTGTACGGAATTAGTTTCGAATCAAAGACTAATATTAATATAGAAAATATATTCTCGTACACACAGTGTGAACTTGGAGGAGCATCAAAAAGTTCATCCAAATGACGGGGATCAATCAAACACAATTAATAGTTCTGAACCAATCAAGCAAAATGTGAATAATTTTCGGGAAAGAAAAGTGAGCTCCTACTTACCAGGCAAGAGATGTATAAAGACGCTTACGATTTTGTCCATAGAATTGAAAACTAAGCTACATCGCCAAACAATCAGTGCCCATGCCAAAGGTCCCTGCACCCATTTATGTATCGTAAACGGAAAAATTGAAAAATGAGAACCGACTCTATCGATATCGGAAATAAGTGAAACTGTTCTGATTTTCTTACCTCTGCAAACGAGAAGCAAACCATAAAGAGTTTCTCGTTTTTAGGATAACACAAGAGCATGATCAAGAATATTGTATTGGCATAATAGCAAAAGTCCTGCATAACAACGTAAACCAGTCGTCAACGTCTTCTCTTTTCTATACGGTCAAAAAATTAAACTATAAAACCGAGACTTTCTAATTATACTCGGACAACAGAGATTAAATGCAAGAAAATGAAGTCGGAACTTACCAGAAGATAATAGTGCCATTTCTTGTATCGGTAGTAAATCCATCGAAGTGGGACAAAAATAACATAGAACAAACAATACAGATATCGAACATCTTGCGGCCCTGATCGATCAAACCACGAAAGGACAAACTCATGAAACACTCAATATAACATATCACGAATTTGTACCGAAGCAAAAAAAAATATACTCACTTGCACCCAAAACAAAGCAGAAGCCACCGAAGCCAAGAACACCAAGCAAATGCGTCACCTAAACGCCACAAAAAAAAAAAAAAACGATAAACACAACCTCGAATCCATCATCAGAATATACTACAAATAAAGTTCGTTTTCTATTTAATTTAAGTAACTGCGTACGAAATAGGCATTATGTTCCTTAACTCCATGCCACAACAACCTCCGTAAGTCCGTACTCGAAACCCGAAAGACAATTAAAGATTCTTGAATGTAAATAGCCATAGCCAAGTAAGTGTCCGAAAGACAATTAAAGATTCTTGAATGTAAATAGCCAAGTAAGTGTCGATATGTGAAAATCGATACCTTATTGATGAATCTTTCGTGCTCTTCAGCCTGTTTAGCGATCTTAACGGCTTGTTTCGACAAGAGCTCTTTCGTTTGAACAGCTTGTTTCGAAAGCATTTCCTTCGTTTGTGCCACTTTCTACACAAAAATCAAAATTCACCCCCAAATCAAGAGAAAAACCCAAATATGATGAATCCAACTCGAGAAAATCTTAATAGTTAGAACAACAAATACTCACATATATACATACACAAACATACACATATATACATATAATGTAAAGAACATAATAAAAAGAAAAATTAATACCTTGGATGGATCTCTGAGCCTTAGTTTAACCTTATTCCCATACGAATCCTCCACCTCCATTGTTTCTTCATTACCCGCCATTCCCCAATCTTAAATCCCTTTTTTTTTTTTCTGTATCAATTCTCTCGTCAAAATGATTGGGATATGATGAAGAAGAAGAATTGTGATGCGGGTATCGCTGTCTTGTTCGCGTGTAAATTATATATATATATATGAATTCGTTTTGTCTCTATCTACCTGTTCTTCGATTGAATGCAGAAAAAAATATATATATTTATTAATAGTAATAAATAAATAAATAAATTGCTAATCTTTGTGATCACAGTGGCGCACCCCCAGCCCAGGATGATTATTGATTATTGATCTATAATAGTGCTCTAATTGTGGTTGATTAATACCATAATTTTGGGGGCTGATTTTCATTTCATCTTTTACTTATTATAGGAATATTCCTTTATAGTCAAAATAACTGTCCTTTTCATTTCATTTTCCGACTTCATTTATTTTCTTAGAAAAATTTCCGAGTTCATTTAGGTAATTGGAAAAAGAGAAAAGGAAATAATTGGTTTTAATTTTTTAATTATTTACTTTTAAGAACGATCACACGGTGAGAGTGGGGGTGGGCTGGACAACCAACCTATCCATAGATCAAAAACCAATGAGTATTTAAAGAGATTAAGGCAATATGTTGGAGTCCGAAAAACGGCTAAAAACAACAATTTCTAAAACATAAAAATAAAAAAATCTATAAAAAATAGAATAACACGGGCAAAACAGGAAGCACAAACTAACGAGAAGATATAAGTATAAGATGGTCACAGAAAGTCTCAGAAAATCGAGAGAGTCTGCACGCCTCATCACAACACTCGAAGTCACTTACAAGTTCGATTAAATATGGGTGAAACATGTATAGCGACTGTGAAAAAATGTGGCACAATTAGACAAGGGAAATAATTGGTTAAATAAACTTCACGTTGACTGAATATATTAATGTTGACTGAACACATAATATTACATATAAATACATGGATATATGCTTATAATGTGTAACTAAGATATACAAATATATAATTAGATGCTAACATGTATCTAATTTGAAATATATAATCATCTTCCTTGTATAAATTAAATAAATAAATAAATTGGTTCTTGAATAACCCATGCACCTTGTTGGTGGTGGTGCATATGATAGATATTGTTCCCACTTTTCAAGAAGTATAATAATTTTGCATTTATGCCTATTAACTTTTTGATATTATTATTGTGAAATTCCTTTTCAATTATCCTTATTGGTGCAAATCAAGAAAAACATTAAAATAGTAAAAGAAATGGGCATTTCTTCGATAAATCCCAAACACAATCCACATACCTCTTACCACATTTTCCCAAAAAATTCAAGTCATTTTAATACCCTTAAAATCAAATGTAATCCCCACTTTTTCAACTCAAATTGATTTCAATTTTAAATGAGTAATTTTATTTCTTCGTGCTCATTCAACCGCCGTCAACCCGACTTTAAAAATTTTGTGAAACATTTATTATACTTTCTCAATTATAATTTTACTATACTTGATTTACTGAGTGATAATTAATAATGAAATAATCAATGAGAGGACGTATTCTAGTCACTTCATCGGATTTTTCCTAGAATCAATACATATTTTCTTATCCCTTTTTCATTTATCTCAAAAACGGAGAGAAATGTTATTTTTTTTAATTATTATTTTCTTTTCTATAAGCACAAAATAAATAACTGGCATGTTGAGTAATGTGCTGGAGGTGGGCCATCCATCCGGCCCATGTAGTTCGCGGTTGAATTTGAAATTTGCAATGGCCCATTTTGAACCAATCACACTCAAATCTGGGATATGTTGCCTCCAAAATATACAAAATTCAAAATACAGATTTAATTCTTATTTATATTATTGTATTTGAATAATAATAATATTGTAACATCTAACTTGACGTCTCACCAACTACTTTCTAAACATTTAATCCTCTAATTTATAAATACAGAAAATTTAAATATTTGGACCAATTTCAATTGTTGTCACGTCCTTAATATATTTTTTTTAACGAAGGAATCCGCAGTCAGCTGTATAGGTGCACTGAGAACCCGCAATCACCTGTATAGGTACAATAATTTGCAAACCATACGAGATATGGAAACCACATTAGGCTAACCATGTGTGACATACTCGACTAGCGGCCGTTGATAATAAGATTCGAATTTAGGTCAATTTACAAAAGTTTATTTGCTCCATCGCTATGTCATCCCTTGCGTGACAATTGCATTCTTAAGTTAGATAAAATATCTTAAAATGTCATCATTTAGATAAAACAATAAGAACACAAATGTTCGATAGAATTTTTCGTTACTTACAGAAGTGATTTTAGATCAGAAAAGTAACTCCATACATACTTTAAATTATAGTTTAAAACAACTTTGTTTTAAAAACTATATTTGTGAACACTCTGAATTTCAATATATAGTTTTGGGATCTAATTAGTTTGAATTTTGTGAAAATGGAAAATGTATTAAAATACTAACTGGGGCAGAAGTGAGAGTATTCAAAAATAGAGGGGCAACAACGAAAATTGCTATACGTTTCTTATGTTTTCAGCTTCAACTTTGAATTAAACACGCTCACGAGTCACGCCAATATAGAGAGAGAGAGGAGAGAGAGAGAGGAAGCGTCTAATAGCGGAAAAATTGCCCACATATTTCGTAGGCTCCTAGCTGTAAGATTCTTCATCCTCTCCACCTCAATTTCTTTGCTATGTTCTTTAATTTCAATTTTTATGAAGATAAAAATGCTGAATACGTTTGAGAATATGCTTCTATAGTTGGATTTTTTAGGGACGATAATACCTATGCCCAAATGAATTTTAATATCTAGCTATTGCTTTAGTTTTTTTCGGCGTAGAATTTGAAATTTGCAGAGCTGTATGTATTTGAATCAGAATTAGGGGATTGCTTTTTTGATAAAATTTGGACCTTTTTGCGCGCTTCTATTTTGTGGGTGTTCAATGTTCAATTGTTCATGCAATTCCAGAATGATGTTATGGATGGGTGTATAACATTGGGTTATAATTGTATTAAATAATGTAGTTTGCGAGGAGATAATGTTGTCGAAAGCCGACAGCAGAAAGAAAGCCGGTGAAAATTCAAGTACAGGGAAATTTGGAAATGACCTCGAAGCCATAAGTAAAGCTTTGTATGGTGATAAAACTTTGTCAAGGCTTGCCAGTTCCACAGCAAGTAGTCGATCCAAATCCGTTGGAAAATCCAATTTGCTCGATTCCAAGATGAAGCCGAAGGATGCTGCAAAGAACAATCCGAAAGAATTGGTGGACAAAGAAAAGAAGCCCTCAATTTGGAGCTGGAAGGGTCTAAAGGCATTGACCCATATTCGGAACCGTAGATTCAATTGTTGTTTCTCTCTCCTAGTCCATTCAGTCGAGGGTTTACCGTCTTTCTTCGACGATGTTTATGTCGTTGTGCATTGGAAGAGGCGAGATGGTGAGCAGATGACTCGTCCGATTAGGGTTTATCAAGGAGTGGCCGAGATTGAAGAACAGCTGACTCATTCTTGCTCTGTGTACGGTAGTAGGAGTGGGTCCCACCATTCGGCAAAGTACGAGGCGAAGCATTTCTTGTTGTATGCATCTGTTTATAATGCACCCGAGCTCGATTTGGGGAAGCACCGTATAGATTTGACACGTTTGCTTCCTCTCACATTGGAGGAATTGGAAGAGGAGAAAAGCTCGGGTAAGTGGATGACTAGTTTCAAGCTATCGGGTAAAGCGAAAGGTGCAAAAATAAATGTTAGTTTTGGATATGTTGTAATTGGAAATAATAGCAGCGAGCCGTGTAGAAACAGTAATGTTCCTGATGTACCGATCTTAAGGCAGAACAGATCACAGACGGAGAAAATCCTCGTCGGTCAAATTGATGAATTGAGCATTCGTAGGGTGGGGAGTCTACCTGCCAGGCTGTCGACCTTAAACAATTCCGAGGAAATAAAGGATCTTCACGAGGTTTTGCCTGTATCGAATTCGGAGCTCTGTGAATCGGTTAATGTGCTTTATCAGAAATTGGATGAAGAGGCTGGAAATAAATTGGATGTTGTTGAAACTCATAAACAGATTTCATTTACACCAACCGATGATGGTGGTGAGAAAGTTTGTGAAACCGAGTGGGAGATTAGTGAATTTTGTGTTGTAGAGAAAGGGATAGAAGAGTTCACTAAAGAAGAGGTGCGGCCAAAAGAGGATCCTTCGAAGGTTATTTTAGAAGCTTCCGAAGAGGTTCTTGAAACTAACGATGATGATATGGAGGTGCCTGTTGATGTAGATGCTGCTCTTCATAATCCCTCAACCGAAGCTTCCGAAGAGGTTCTTGAAACAAATGATCATGATATGGAGGTGCCCCTTGATGTAGATGCTGCTCTTCATAATCCCTCAACCGAAGAAATTATTTCTCAGAAAGACGAAGAGAGTAACATGTCCTGCAAAGAATCACTAATGAAAGAACTGGATACTGCATTAAGTTACGCCACGGATTTGGTGAACGAAGGACAAGATTCTCAAGATGACGAAAGTGATGCTTTGGAACTAGAAAGTCATAGGAAGGGGAAATCTCTTAGCTTGGATGATGTCACCGACTCAGTGGCCAGTGATTTCTTGAACATGCTAGGTATCGAGCACAGTCCATTTGGCTTGAGTTCCGAAAGCGAACCGGACTCTCCAAGAGAGCGCCTTCTGAAGCAATTCGAGAACGATACTCTCGCAAATGGAGGTTTACTCAACTTCGATATCGAGAATGATCCAGAAGAACCCGTCAGTGAAATTCCAATGGGGTCTATCTGGGAAGCGATCTCAAACGATTTCTACCAATCTTCGATATGTGAAGGCTTTCAGGAGATTCCCGAGATAGATACAGACGCATTTAGGGGTAAATCGAACGCCTCGATATTAGAGGATTTGGAAACCGAGGCTTTGATGCGCGACTGGGGCATAAACGAGAAAGCGTTTCAACACTCTCCGCCTAGTCATTCGGGTGGCTTTGGCAGTCCGGTTGACATCGTACCTCCCCATGAGGAGGTTCCTCAGCAGCTTCCTCCACTAGCGGAAGGTTTGGGACCCTTTGTGCAGACTAAAAATGGAGGCTTTTTGCGCTCGATGAACCCTGTACTTTTCAAGAATGCTAAAAGTGGAGGCAGCTTGATTATGCAGGTGTCTAGTCCGGTGGTGGTGCCTGCAGAAATGGGCTCCGGTGTAATGGACATACTTCAGGGTTTGGCTGCTGTCGGGATTGAGAAGCTGTCAATGCAGGCGAACAAGTTGATGCCTTTGGAAGAAATAAATGGGAAGACAATGCAACAAATAGCATGGGAAGCTGCACCGAGTCTTGAGGGATCTGAGAGGTTTGTCATTATTGTTTACTGTTGTGAAAATTCTATTTCTTTGCGGAAGTTCAAAATTAATTCCAATTCTGTTCCAAAAAAAAATTGGAAAAATTTTCGGGTCGCAATCGGCGGAATTTGGAAATTCCAAAATTTCGGTCACCTATATACAAAACACATAATTTAATATTAATATTATTGGTGTAATTTTCGGAAATTTAAATCGGATCAGAAATTGGAATCTAATAGTCCGTTTTAAAAAATAAAAAAGTCGGAAATCCGAACTTTTGATTTTTAGAATGAAAAATATTGGTCCAAAATAGGAAATTTTCGGACCGGAATCGGCGGAAGTCGGAATATTTCTCTTCCAATTTCCACCCCTAGATATATGTTTTTGTTGTCTTTCAAAATTGTGATTCAATTAATAGTTATTATGCTAACACATTTATTCCTGCTCCAGTCAAGGTTTATTTCAGCATGATGAATATGAAATTAGGCGAAATTCACCTGTTGAACAGAAGAGGGTGAAAGGAACATCCTCCGTCAATCGATCTGGTAAACCCGATGCAACTTTGTTCGGCAACGACACAGAATACGTTTCTTTAGAAGATCTTGCCCCTTTAGCAATGGATAAAATCGAAGCTCTTTCAGTAGAGGGTTTGAGAATACAATCCGGAATGTCGGACGAAGAAGCACCTTCGGATATCACCACACAATCGATCGGTGAATTCTCGGCCCTCAAGGGAAAGACCCTCGATGGAGCTGGTGGATTGCAACTTCTTGATATTAAAGATGATAATAATAATGAAGATGTTGATGGATTGATGGGCTTATCTCTAACGCTCGACGAATGGATGAGGCTTGATTCAGGTGAAATCACTGACGAAGATCTAGTCAACGAACGAACGTCAAAAGTACTTGCTGCCCACCATGCCACCTCATTGGATCTTTTTCGAGGAAGATCGAAGGGGGACAAGAAACGTGGCAAGGGTAAGAAGAAGTATGGTTTGTTGGGTAATAATTTCACCGTGGCATTAATGGTGCAGCTTCGTGATCCGTTAAGGAATTACGAGCCAGTGGGTACTCCAATGCTTGCTCTTATTCAAGTCGAGAGGGTTTTCGTACCGCCGAAACCTAGAATCTACTGCACAGTTCCTCGTGTAAGAAACTCCGATGAAGAAGAAAAAGAAGAAGAGGAAAAAGAGGTTAAGGCTGAAAAAGAGGAGATTATAATTGAGAAGCCAATTGAAGAAGAATTGGTTCCTCAGTATAAAATCACTGAAGTGCATGTTGCAGGGCTAAAAACGGAACCGACGAAAAAGAAGCTGTGGGGTTCGACAAACCAGCAGCAAGCTGGGTCCCGCTGGCTGCTGGCGAATGGAATGGGGAAGAAGAACAAGCATCCATTGATGAAGTCAAAGGTTGTCGCGAAGAATTCGAATTCAAATTCAGGTACTGCTTCTTCTTCGTCTACGAAGACTACAACAGTACAGCCTGGAGAGACATTATGGAGCATCTCTTCACGTGTGCATGGAACAGGGGAGAAATGGAAAGAACTCGCAGCACTTAATCCACATATTCGAAACCCTAATGTTATTTTTCCGAATGAAAAGATCAGACTGTGCTAGGATTTAAAGTGCAGCTGGAATTCTTTACATTATATGTTTTTTCGGAATTGTATTTTACAACGGTACTTTGTTCCCTTTTTTCCTTCCAATGTCGGGATTCTATCTAAGTAGTAATTACTCGAAAATATCTTCTTGATCATCCTCAATAGATTCCGAATGCTTCCTCTTCTCTTCAATGAGCCCATACTTTCTGAGCACCCACAGATTCATGCGCACGGCATTACCTATAAAGACAACCACCATAAGAGTTAGCCATGTCAGCACCGAAATCTCGGTGACCTTGCGCAAGACAGCCTCCAAATTGCGCGGCGACATGTGGCGGAGGGTGATGAAGTAGGTCACCACCTGAGACGTAATAGCGACCCACATGATCACCATTTGGTACCACATCCATCTCCGTTTCTTGAGGGGCAATCCACTAACGAGCAAGAGGATTATGCTCAAAGACGAGAGGAAAGCTATCGTGTTGAAAATCATGAAAATGCCGTAGATTTTCGGTTCTTGATATGCCATCACCGATTGGCCGACCGAGTGGGGATTGCTGACCGGATTCCCGTTTTGGTCGACTGTGTAATCCTCTTGCCAAACGCCACCTGGTGGGGTTAGCCCGGCCTGAAATGCTACTGTAGCTATTAGAGACGCAACCACCATTAGTGCGCTACGTTTTCTGCCAAGCCAGTCAGTCGATTTAGGGTTTGTGATCGGCTTCTTGATTTGCCTTGCTTTTTGTGGAGGTGAGTTCTCGGTAATCAAATGTAGATCTTCGACAGTCAAAGCTCCTGATTTGAGAAGGGAATATTCGATTTCCATATCTATGAGTTCCCGAGGGCTTTGTTTTAGTAAATCAAGAGATGTTAATCCACTCTTGTTCAATGAATTTACTTCCAATCCATTCAATGTGACCAAATATTTGATGATCTGCTCAAATTAAAACAACTCTGAATTACTACAAAAACAACAAAAAATGTGATAAATCAAGAGAGAGAGAGAGAGAGAGAACCTCAACATGTTTCTTGGTGACTGCAATATGCAGAGCAGAATTGCCCTCACAATCTTTCCAATTCAGTACTTCACTATCTTCCCCAATTTCTTCACCCAACAGCTTCACCGCATCCACTCGATTCCACTTCACAGAAAGGTGCAAACCGGTTTCTCCACGGTCGGTCCGATCCCGGGTCGACTCCGGTTTGACCCGGACAAGCTCGGCCAGTACCGCCGCTCTACCCTTGATAGCCGCCACATGCAGTGGGGTTCTGCCGTCCATATTACGGACGCAGACCGATTCGCTGCCGTCCGCGCTGGTTAGAAGCTCCCTCACGACAGCCACGTGGCCTTTGGCCGATGCCAGGTGCATCGGCGAGCATCCGTGCTAGTCCAACTCGGCGGCCAACTCGGGCTTACGACTCAGTAGCTCCTTGACGAAGCTGAGGTGGCCCAACGTAGCGGCGGTGTGGAGGGGCGTGTCGGAGATGCAGGCGACTATGATCTTGTCAAGTATCAATGGGTCTTCTTCCAGAATTTGCAGTAGCGAACTCACGTTTCCTTCCAACGCTGCCTCTGATAATCTTTTCTCCATTCTCTCTCTCTCTCTCTAGCAGCAAATTCCACTCTCTCTCTCTGCACATGTATGTATACATAATACATGTATATAAGCTCATCTATACAAAATACTCAACTCCACTCCAATTTTTTGAATTTTCTTTTTTTTTTTCTATTTAAAGCCGCCAATAAGGAATAAAGTTTAAATTTTGATATTTTTTTGTATTCACTCATCAATTCAAATTAAACAAAACAGAACAAAGTTAAAAAGTTTCTTAGAAACTTCTCTTTAGTCAACCAACGATTTCATCAATCCCCTGCTCAAAGGTCAAAAATATCCAATATCCCCTGCTTATTAATTGTTCATACAAAATTATCAAATTATCACCGGGTTGATTTGAACCGTATATTTGATTAAATAACTACCCACTAAGCACAGATACACATGAGTGTGTGTGATTATGTGTAGACGTACGGTTCAAATCCACCCAGCATCTAATTTCCCATAAAACGGGTTATAACCCTGCTACAAAAAGTACGAGATACGCGCATGGATTAACGACACAAACAAACGATAAAGACAGAAAGATGCACAACCATAAAAAGATCTCTACAATAAACATTTATAAGATCTAAAAAAGAAGAGGGGCAATCCTGGGTGTCAATGGAGATGTTTTTTTCAGACATGAATAAGTATTAGAGAATTAGGAGCAACTGGATAAATGGGGTTTTACGAAGGGCGAACTCTCTTGTTACTACTACAGACCGGGCATTTGTACTGCTTGATGTGCTCGGCCCTAGCTGGAGTTATCTTAACGCACTTTCCATGGAACCATCTCTCGCATATGTCGCAGCAGATCCAGAACTCGTCCGATGCATAGTTGTCTCCACATGCTCCACACAAGGTTTCTCCATGCTCGTCGTCTTCCTCGTCTTCGTCCAATCCCTCGTTGTTCTCGTCTTTTAGTGGGGCCTTTGGCATTTTCACCTAAATTTCGGGGAAAATGGCAAGGTCGTGAATTTTAGTTACGGAATTATACAGATGGAATTACTAGCAGTAACATGTGAAAACAAATTGAGTGTTTATCGGAAACTTTGCAGCCGAGACATGCTCAGGTGGAAACATGATAAATTCTTGCGGGGTTAAAGAATAATAATGTCGTTGATGGAGGAAAAGTGAGATGATGTAACATGCTCAAGCAATTAATGATGCTTATTATAAAAGCTATGCTACATGATTTGTAGCAGTAGACCAAAATCTTTTGATGTATAGAAGAAGATATAGGGAAACAAATAAGATTTCGATTTTTCTTCTTTTCATCTTTCAATCACTGTTAATTAATCATCAGATAATGATAAGAACCGTGTCAGAGATGAACTGAAATATTCATTTACGAAAACCAACCGTGGACGACAGTCACAAATCTCAAAAAAAGTAAACTATAAGTTTCCTGCAATCTTCAGAAGATGCATGTCGATGTGCATAAAAGTTGAAAAATCCTAATATTCTATTAAAGAAGGATCGGCACAAATACAGGGTGGATTAACCAACTTCAGTCGGCTTTATTAGCCCAGCAGTAATTTCAAGATCAAAATAGTAAAGTTCATTTATACTTGACTATATTTAGGTTCATCGTAAGTGGGGCAAAACAACTCAGATATTCTATGAATTCAAATATATGTAAGAGTAGCCCACACGTGTATTCCAAATGATATAGAAAGATAATTTTACCGGTTTGGTGTTTGACTTGGATTTACTGCCACTCTGGTTTGTAACAGATGATTTCTCCTTCTCTTGCTTTTTTGCAGCTCCAGTCACAACTTCAAAAACTGTCGGAAGATCATTTATCATATTGAATAGACGTTTCCTGCATCGAATAACAACAAAAAAAATGAAGCCCACAGCAAAGCAGATTTCACACACATTCACCTGGTTATTATTTAACAATCAACATTTCAGCATATATGATCACTCAAAATTACCCCCGACAAGGTTCAAATGTATGCACTAAGGGCCAAAGTTTGTATTCATGGGAGGGTAAAAAAATAGAAGGAAGCGGGAAAGAAAGCACTTAATTCTTTGCATTGGGAATCATGAAGATCACACCTAAACAATATTGAAAACGCATAACAAGATATTTAAAGAAATAGAACGGGGAAAAAAGGAATATTTAAAGAAGTTTATAACTCAGAAAACGATTACCTGTCAGCTTTATCAAAACCAAATCGAGCACCGAAATAGAAAGAAACAGAGAGTAGCCAAGCGTCACTGTGGACAGCAACAAGAGCCAGCCAGTCCCTTTCTTGCATTCCGTCTCTGGCAAAATTTATGCCTAAAGCAGGTTCTGGAAGCTCAGGTGGGACCTCCTCAGCAGGCAAATTAACTTCCCACTTCTCATTAGGAAATCCATAAAGACAAAGATTCTCCTTCTCTGCAAAATTTCCATGTTATCGACAAAAGGAAGCATCACTTGTAGAGTATAGGCTGCTTCGAAATAGAAATTATCGAAGATATCCTTTGTTATGGACTAACAAGTAACAACACGTACAGCATAAGATATCAGTACACTCAGCAGAACTCGTTGAAATTTCAAATTAACAACGCATACAGCATAAGATGATAGGCCAAATTTTAGCTGTTCAAAAATAGAAACCTACTTCCAGTTATTTTTATTATGTGTAGTTTTACTGGTTGGTAACTGTTAAATACGTAGGGGCAAAATATTACTGAATCCACACAGGGTCTTGTATATACTACACGTAGTGAAACACACCGAAATAGTTTTCCACATTTGATTTACAAACAATCACACACGTGTACATATGGACATGTGTAAAATATGTATGGATCTAAACACGTGTATCGTAGGATATAATCCGGTGAATTTCAGTGTCGCGTAGCGTAGAACAAACTTTCCCAAACTTGCACCATCGTCGCCATATATGAAACAATAGGTTAACAAAAATTTAAACCTAAACTGCAGTTTGCATATAATTCAAAAATTAGTAACCATTAGGCCAATTAAGTACACCAAATGACACCCCCAACCAGGCAAAATATTTGAAGTAGCATAATATTTTTTTTTTAAAGTAAAAAATAAGGGGTAAATTCAAAAGTCATACAAGGATAAACTCATAAATACCGCCAACAAATAAATTAAAAAAAATCCGATTGAAAACACCGAAATATATGGTAGAAAATTACTATAACTCACCAGGATCACACTGTTGGAAAAATTCTTCGACGTCTGAAAATAAAATATATAAAAAATTGAGTCAGAAAAAATATTAAAAAAAATTAAAAAACGTAGCGGAATGCACAACAATCAACAAGAAGAACCCTAGAACTTCAAAAAAATCATACAGCAAAACAAAAATTACGCAGGCACACAAACGTACAAAGGAAAGCCAAAAGAAAAAAGAAAAAAAAAAAAAAAAAAAAAAACGCACCAATGGTGAGAGCTTTAATCAAAGCGTCGCGTCTGCCCTTGAAATCTCTGAAAACCTCTTCCACCGTTCGAGGATTGTTAAGTACTCCTCCGTCCATGGCTGCTTAGTTGTACACGCACAAACACGCTGCACTGTGTGCTATCTGAGCAATGGTTTCAAAATGAACTAAAGAGCTGGGGGTGGGGTGGGTGGGGTGGGGGGGTTAAGAACAAAAAGAAAGGGGGGAGTTTTGGGGGCACAGATAAGAGTTATACGGACTTTGTGGGGGTATTTTCGGAATTACAGTTAGGATTGTCTGGGAATGGATAGGAACTTTATTCTGAAAAGGAAGGAAAGGAAAATTGACCTGCTGTTAGTCTAATGTAGTAGACTACTTAATACCCTTTCAAATTATAACAAATGGAAAAGTTCAAACTTTATATTATTTCCCGAAATAACAAATGTTCGATCTGTAAATTATTGCACGAGAACGAGATTTATTCGAGCGTATATTTATTCAAACCGTATTATACAGTTTGAATAATTTAGGCTCGAAATTAAAATTAGAGACGTATATTTATTCACTTGTTTGGAGGAAGAATCGGCTGTCTCTATACCTAGGAGTTGGGTTTATTCATTGCTTTGTTGAAATGATTTTATATAGTTCTTTTTTATTTATCTTTGAAACTATATTTTTTTAGGGTAAATTACGGCCACGGCTGGGATAAAATTAAATTACGAAAAAATCTATCTTGTTTAGGTAATTACACTCACCTCCTTCAACTATAAATCTTGAGTGGTGCTATTTTCACCACCAAATTATCTTAATTTACCACCAAATATTGTAAAATGTCATAAATAATCCTAAAATTTATAATCCACCATCCTTCCTTATATTAATTTAATTCTCATGTGTTATAACTTATTTTTATTTTATCAATTTTTTAAATTTTTTAATTTAAAAAAAAAATTATTATGTTTTCGATTTTTTACAATGAAATATTTATTACAAGATATTTAAACTTTAATATCAGATGACAAACAGATTATGTAATTTTTTTTAGGAAATAAAATTATATTAAGGCAAATTGGCTAATTCTTGAAGAAGTTCAGGATTCCATGCAATCAATCTTAATTTATTTCTCAAAAAAAGTGAATTCCTGCTATTTTTTACCTTCGAAAATGTTTTTCTCTCGTAAAAGTATTATTCACTTACGGTGGTCAGGGTGAGATTTCCCGTGAAAAGGGTGGGATTTGTTTTATAAATATTTTAATTAGTTTAGTGGTAGATGGTTTATAAATATTGAAAAATATAGGTGAAAGAAGAAGAAAGGGGTAAAATAAGAAAAATATTTAACTTGGTGGTGAAATAAGATATTTTGAGAGTGGAAATAGCACGTCTCTAAATCTTCTTACACGTTCATCCTTATGAGGTCAAATTCAACATAATTTTCTAAATTTCGCGGAATGTTTCTTTAGTTTGTACTCGTTTTGTAAAAAAAAAACACAGTTTCTGATGCATCACAATCAGATATTTACAAGCCAAGAGACACATCTTATAATCATCTTGTTCAAAATGTGAAGCTTGAATGGGGTTAAACGGGTGCAAATGAAGAATATTCCACATAATCTAAAAGATGCCACTAAATTTAACACCGCAAAACATGTAAGAAAATTCATAGTTGAGGGAGTGACTGTAATTCCCCAAACATGTGGGGGGTTTTTGTAATTTAACCTTACTTCAATGGGTGGCCATAATTGGAAGAATGAAATATTGTATGCCAAAATTTATAATAGAATAACTTATAGGTCTTCCTCTAAAATAAAATAAAAATCAAGTACAACCAAACAAAATATGCAAAGATGAGTCTATAATCACTATAACATTATAGCCAAGAACATACTAAAATATTACTGTCTGAACCACGATGAACTCTTGTCCAAAATAAAAGGACTAGCAAAGAGAGAAAAAGAAAAAGAAAAAAAAAAGAAAAAAAAAAGAAAAAAAAAGAAAAAAAAAAGAAAAAAGAAAAGAAAAGGTCCTGAAATTCAATTTAAGTAATAAATAAGAGATTCTCTCAGTCCATTCTTCAAACAATAAAATGAGACCGAGTCTAATTCGAGGATGTGGTCCAGTATGTCAATGTCATACCATATATATACCACAAAGCATCAAATCTTTCAATCTTCGCAAATTCTTGCACCACAAGACACACCACTACTGTGTGTGTGTGATTGACAATCACAAAAAACTTTTACTCACCGCAAAACCTAAAAACGGCACAATCCAGATTTCAGCACATCACCTCGCCAAATATTCTGAGAAAATCGGGAAAAGAAAAAAAAAAAAGATACAGCCACAAGGATTAGGATCAAGAATTTGAAACAAAATGTTGTAAGTTGAAGTTAAAACGTATATATTTTTGGGGTAGACAGTTATATGAGTCGAAACTTACCCAATGTAGAAGAATCGTTATCCTTGGTAGCTGGAACAGTTTTTACTAAGAAATCCTGAACTGATCTCCAGTAGCGATCACCGCCTGATAACCATGTATCCATATGCATGCCTGTAGGGAATTCTACAAATGTGCATTGTCGATTGTGCGCAGCTGCTTTAGCATATAACATCTCCATGTGCGACGGGGGAACCATTTCGTCTTGTAGTCCGGAGAGTAGGAGGATCGGTTGTTTGATCTGTGGATTTAGAACATAATAATAATAAATTAACACAACTCACCGGAGAGTTGATAAAACGGCATGACAGATAAATCCAAAACCTGTCTGCATAAAGGACTGAATAATAGAAAAGACATTTTCTCATATGGAAATACGACCAAATATTAATAATATCTTAAACATAACTGTATCTCGTATAGTCATATTTCATGTGTCTTACTCTTATCATGGTAATAGTTTTGTACAGTCAAATTATCTTTGCCTGAGGCTTATCTTAGTTCAAACATTAGTAATATCTTGAAAAGAGTCTTGTATAATATTTCCTGTACCTTATCACTACTATAGTTAAACAGTGCTAAATATATTTGTCCAAGGCTTATCTTTGTTAATGCCTGGCTTAAAATTTTCAAATTCAAGACATAATCTTCGGCTCAAACTTGGTAGTATTTGAACTCTTATAAAGCTTCTGAACATTAACAAGCTGAGAATGTGTCCTTAAGCCATACAGAGTAACAGAGCTGAGAGACAGCATACTCTTCTTACGAAGCACTATACTAAAAATTAGGTGCATGCAAGAGATTTCATTCACATGTAGACTCACCTGACCAATAACATCAATGGTGCTCCACGGTGAACGAACTAGAAAATTCAAAACTCTGGGACCCTTTGAGTTACTTCTTCCAATAAACCACTTCAGAAACGGCAATAGAACTCCAGCCATGTCCAGAATGGATGTAAAAGTGTTTTCTAATATTAATGCAGCAACCTGCAATAACAGAGCAAGGAAAACTACTGTGATAAAGGTTGGTATACCAGCAAACTAGGAATATATTAGCTCAGCTGAAACAATGCTATGCAGAAAAACTAAATTAGATAATGTAAAGAGGATGAAAATTGACAAACTGGTAAACATATATCACTCGCCCAACAGAAAATTAATGTGGATAACCAACGATTCATGAAAAAATAAATTCAATAGAGGAATCTTCTGTATTTCTTTCGGCTGAAAAGAAGGGTATCTTGGAGATAGTTTACTGCCCAAATGAGTACACATATTGCATAGTTTTTTGAAAAAAAAAATTTAGAAGTGTTACAGGATATTAGAGTAATGTCGAATTTTCTGGATACTTGTGAGTTTTTTTGAGTTTCATACGGAAGCCCCAGTGTGAAGCACAATTGAGATCGAACCCCATTAACATGCAACAATATATCATATATGAATAGTTTAACCATTCAGACTAAGAAGACTGGTCCTATCCACTGACAAGGTAAAAAGGGAAAAAGGACGCAAGAACAAAATTAGTTCTCAGCCTGCACAACTTTGAATGAAACACATCCTTAGGGGTATCACCTTGTCCGGGTTGTTTTTGGCCAGCACTGCTCCAACAGCTCCCCCAAGCGACCTTCCGAAGACTACAAGTCTGGAAGTGTCAATATCTGTCCTCTGAACCAGATGCTCCAATGCAGCCTACTCATCATGAACACGGCATGAATTAGAATTGGATTTATCTAGTGATATTTACAGACCCCACAGCCACAAACCCCATACAACCATCTTCCTCTTAAGAAAAGATTGATAGCATCAACTGGAAGACAGTGAAATGTTAAGCTAAGTAAAACATGATAGTGAGAATGCAAACCTGCGCGTCTTTTGTAATACCATGTTGAGAAGGAAATCCGTCACTAGCTCCATAACTGAGTATTTCCAAAGCAGAAACGAGCAAATTTGATGCACGCTTATAGAAGAAAACAAAATGTTGGAGGCAATCTACAGAAAAAATAAATGGCTTACCCTCTGTAAGAAAGCATGAAAACATTGCATTGCAGTTTCTGCAACATAATTCGAACCATTTCAAGACGATGAGCAATATCTGTAATTAATTAGTCAAGGCCCTAGAACAGATGTACTCCGGTTCATACCTAATTAGGAAAATAAATCTTTGGCAGCAATCTTGACATACTATATCAATATATAGTTCAATATTTAACTCCATTCAAACAGTAGAACAATGAAAGGATACTGCCAGCATTTTCCTGGAAAAAGAGAACAGTGGGACCTGCAAAACTCATGATACCGGGTCTTAGGGTTAGTGTTATGCACAGCATAGTTGAAAGAAGAAAAGATAAATGAGTCATAACATAATTGATAACTGATTCCATACTTAAAAAAATTAATGGAACAATAGACTTATACAAAGTAGTAAGGCATTCATTATGGAATCATACCCTTCTACAATTAATAGTAAGATAATTATATGAACTATGGGACAAAATATTAAAGCTGATTTACCAAATCAAGTATCCATCTGTCACATTCAACAATAGACAAATATTTCAGACCGCGAGAATAATAGTTTATGATGGCTTAGATTACATATCAAACAAGTTCCCAATGCATACATATATAACAAATTCTCCTGAAATATTAAATATCCTTGAAAATTCTCTCTTTGGAAACTTAGAGTAAGTCCGGTCACAAAGAAACGTTAAATGGTCAAAGAAGAGAAAGACGATGGAGAAGTATGTTTGACAGCATATTAATTAATTTTCTGCTAAATGAGTAATTTATTGGTATAGTTAGTTGGGTGCGGGTGCGATTTTTGCTTCCATACAGACGGTAACATTTACACTAAATATAACAAATTATAAGATAAACTCAACAACATTTCCTATAAAACTGAGTTAGCACTATCATAATAGTACAGCAGAACAAAATTCTAAATGCTTGCCATACATAAAATAGCCGACACACAATAGGGAAAGGGAAAAATTAAAGCAGCAATCTCAACCAAATGAAGCAATCAACATAAACACTCTGAAATTTAAAGCTATCAATACTACTCTATCTGAAATGCCAACAGCCTTAACACAATTATTAGAACAAAAAGAACAGTAGCAAAAGCACATAAACCCTAAACAAAATAACATCAACTTATGCTGCAACTTTATAGTACTAGTGCCTATCTGGGTACTTAACCACAAAAAGACCCTAATTCCGATTCCATGAATCGATACCCTTCCTCATAGTTAAAATTTTACCCTCGGCTCCAAGCTAGTATTCGCATCAAAATCAATCAGCAGCACCCTAAATCCAAGAGATCACCCCCCACATAATTACCACAAATAGTAACAAAGCCTTTTTCCAACCGAACTACCACAAAAACCTAAACAATCTACAAACGAATTATCATCAACAGAACCAGATTCACTCAAATTACACTTAGCTGCACAGATCAAAGTACAACCCTAACAAATTGCACAACTCAAAAGAAGGAAGAAATGAACCTCTGCAATCGGGGAAGAGCTTGATGAACCAGGCGTGGAGGCGGACGCCGTCGGAGGATGTGAGCCAGACGTCTTCGTACAGGAGGTGGAGTCGGGCAGGGGTGATGGGGTACGATTTAGCGAGTCCGGGCAGCACGGGCACGTAGACGAGCTTCTCCTGAAAAGCAACCAGTAATGCCATACCCGCCACCACAATTCCGCCAACTCCGTAGAGCAGCGCGCTGACGTACGCCACCATGGATTTGATGATGCCTTCAATAGTTGATGTTTCTCTCTCTACACTACGAGCGGGTATGTGTGAGAAGCATGTAGGCACTTGGGTTTGCCGATCGATGCGCAGAGGAATTGAATTTGCTGCTCGGGGTAGAGGAACAACGCAGGGAGTAGAATAAAGTGGTGGGACTTTTTCGCTGGGTGAAACGGCGTCGTTTGATGAGCTAATCGCCCCTTCACTTTCTTTTTGGATTTTCTTTTTTTTCAAAGGTTAATACGAAATATATACACAAGTGTGTTGATCGAAGAACAATCATTTTTAGGATTGTTTGATTATTTCATTTTTATTTATTTCTTTTTATAATTGTATATACCATGTGATCCGGTCTGATTTAACATAACCCAACAAAACACGGCCCAAATGAATTGGGTCATATCCAACTGAATTGGGCTCATGTCCATAGAAGGAAATAAAACTACATGGGGTTGACAGGAGTACGAGATTGTTCGAGTAAGCTAAGATTGATTACGAGCACAAAGTAGTTTAGGTGAATCGTCTACTCATGGGACCAAAGAGCGAGCAACAAGTACAGAGTAGTTGACGAGTAGCGAACAAAGAGTAATTGATGAAACGACCGACGACGAGTAGAGAGTAATTGACGAGACGATCAGAAGGTTGTGGGTGTCAAACTAGTAACTAACAGAAGGTTGTAGGTGTCAAACTCATGACTTAGTCACTAAGATGTGAATAAACTCAATGAAATTCATATATTTACTATAAATATCTGTTATATTCTCCCTCTTTAGACACGGTTCGACGAGAGACATCAAAATACATTTCTCTCTCGCTCTATATACACTTATTATCTTATGATCTAGGGACTTTCTGACTCGGGCGTTAGAGTGCAAACGCCGGGCACCCCTCTCCACTCTTTTGCAGCTCCACCTCCACGATATCCAGGCCCAAAGACATAACGAGTTCCAAAATACGGAATTTCATAAAGCGGTCGGAACTGTCGAGTGACCATGCACTAAACTCACAAGTTACACTGATTTTTTGAATCATTGTCAACGATTCAAAATATAATCTATATTGAAATCATATAAATTCTCACAAATCCACTCATCAAATAACCATTCAACTCAGCTGCAGCTTTTACGATATAACCAGTATTTCACTCGTACAATGCACGTAAATAATTTTAAAAAATAATTTATACTTTTTAAATATTTATATTTATATGGAGAAATAATCTCTTGGATTGGACCGATTAATTGGACTAACTTAGACATAACTATTTGTTGGATCAACTTAAGGTTAATTATTAATACTATTGGTTTGGGTTGTGCTTGGCCCATTAATGTATTTAAATATGATTAAAAATTAAAACCAACAAAAAGGCTCAAAATTGTCAAAGCACAGCCCATATTCAAATTCACCCTCCCTCTTTCTTTAATTATCACCATTTTTATTTTTTCTTTATTTTTCTACTTCGTTTGCCTCTCGTCTTCTTCTCCTCAATCTAGAAATCTTCTGTACCAGCTCTAATTATTTCTGTGTGCTGTTTGGACCAAGTAAATGCCCTTCTTTGTTTTCTTCGAATACTAAATAAATTTAAAATTAAAAAAAAAAAAGGGAAGAAACAATACTCATAATTAATGTAAGAGATTGTTTGACCCATGCTTTGTACTTTATAATTAATGTGAGCAGGAATCTCTGCTATGGCGCAATTTCAGGGCCGGCATTAAAATGCCCTGATCACCATTCACCACCACCACCACCACCACTCCTCTTTCCTTCTATCCTAAAACCCTCTCCATTCTGAGATTTCTCATCTATTTTAATTTGTTTTAGTATATGCTGATTTTTCTGAGTTAGATTTACCCATCTGTACACATAAATTGGTCTGTTTTTTTTTTTTTTTGATTGATCTGGATGCGGAAGGGGATTAATTGGAATGATTTGGTTGTAGGAGTATATGTAAGTATGTGTATCGATAGATTTGCAGAAAACGACGAAGATGCTTACATGCATAGCACGTTTGAAGCAATCGAGTGACGATTCGCGTTCAGTTGATCATCATCCGCCTCCCGAGAAACCGAACGACTCCAATGGCGGTCCTACTAAACAAGTCGTCAGAACTCTCTCCTCTCAGGTCAATAATTCGATTCATCATTTTTTATTTTTAGTTTTTTTTTTTTTTTTTTTTTTTTGGAGAGGAATTCGAATTTTCTACCGACATTCTGAAGAAAAAAAAATTGTTGCGAGGATTTTTCGCAGATCAAGGATGTGGCGTTGAAGGCGTCAGGCGCGTACCGCCACTGCGCGCCGTGCGCGAATCATCCGGTGGCGCAGCAGCCGAAGAACGGGAGCTTCAGCGCCAGCCGCGAGTCGGACTCGGATAAATTCCGGTGGTCGTACCGGCGGACGGGGAGTTCGAGCTCGACTTCCACGGCGGGGCGTAAGGAGCTGAAGGCGAGGCTGAAGGGAATTTCTAACGGGGAGGAGACGCCGGTGTCAGCGAGCGGGCGGCGGGTCGACCCGGTCGTGTTTGTTGAAGAGAGCGAGTCGAAGGAGTGGGTGGCTCAGGTCGAACCAGGTGTCCTAATTACCTTTGTGTCCTTGCCACGTGGGTGCAATGACCTTAAGCAGATCAAATTCAGGTACTTCTTTTACCCTTTTTCATATATTATATCGACATTTTTTATGGGATTTTTGATTGGCTGAAAAAGTTACTTGTTGTTTATTTTATTTTTTAGAATGTGATGAATTTCTTATTTGCTTGTTCGTAGTATTTGATTTTTCTTGACTTTGGTTACCAATAAATGTGAGGGCCACTACATGATTAAATCATCACCGGATATATCCCAATTTGTCCATTTTATACTCTAACCTCGATAAATTAATAACCTCGTTTAAATAATTTTTTTTTCCGATTTCGACTCAATAAAGACATACTAAATTATTAGTTTGATAATTTAATAATTCGTAAGTTAATAAAATTTTACTAGTACCGACTCTATTAATTTATGGAGGTCTAACTGCAGTTCTTTTTAAAAAGTCTGAAATGCTTTTATATTCAAGACTTATGCCGAAATTTTCAATTTTTTTTCATCTCTAAAATTTAATTTTTAAATAAGAATGGTTACATAAAAATGTAACATGTGAGTATTGTGGATGGAGAGGCTATGATTTGGCATAATTGGTGTCGTTAAATCGCCATCATGAGTAGTTAGGAGGATGAATTATTGAAAGAGCATTTTTGAAAAGAAAAAAAAGGGCTATATTTGCGCTTAAGACAACAAAAATGAGTTAATAAGCAAAAGGGCAATTACAGGTATGCTCAAATTATGAAAAAATTCCTCATGTTTTGGTAATTACGACCACCTATCAACTATGTGTTATCTTATATGTTCATTCTTACGGTGACAAATTTATGTATTGGAGTGGGGTTTTTTTGTAAGACAAGTTGAGGGAGAGAGTAGTTGTAATTATCCAAACATGAAGGATTTTTTTTCGTAATTTAAGCTTAGCTGGCCGTAATTTGCCCAAAGAAAATTGTTCATTTATGAGTGATGTAACTTATAGTAAATTTAGGCGCCATAGGCAAAGAAGCTAGATGAGAACATTTGTTTAAAATTAATAACTATTCCAATCATTATGGCAAGTCCATGAGAAAAGATAACTAGGACCCCTTTACAAAAGTCTAAATTAAATGTTTACTAATCGTTGTTGCCTTGTCGGGAAACCCCATTCCTTTCGTTTTCCCAATCTTTGTCACGCTTATGTATGAAAATGAATGTATATTTTACGTTTGGCATCCTTATATATCTTTGTCCCGTGAATGAACCGAGACTTTACATTATATTCCGGTGAGAATATACAATCATATAATTTGTTGATTTTCGTAGCGCATATTCTGCAATCCCATTAATTCGTGGGAGAAGTGGATGCCCTCTAATCAAAGTCAAATGCAGTTAGATTTAAATTCTACATGCAGCAACTCTATTCAAGATTAGGTAGGTCCAACTTAGTGGATTACCATAATAGAGTAATATATAATACTTAATAATTTATAAGTATGATTAAAGATGATGCTTGATTAGTTGGGATGATATTTTTGAAGTCATGCTATTTACACCACAGAAAAAAAATAATCTCAATCTACCACCCATATTCATATTTACTAAATTACCCTTATTTGAAATGTCTAGCATACCCTCAATAGTCAGACTTGAATTCAAGAACAAGTCATGTTCAGTTCTCATGGCAATGCTGGAATCTTATCACTTGCTCAATTTTTATTGTTACATATTTTTTTTTAAAATCTGATTAACGTAATTAGTCTTTTAAATCAACAGTCGAGAAATGTTCGACAAATGGCTAGCACAAAGGTGGTGGGCAGACAACTCCGAAAAAGTGATGGAACTCTACAACGTGCAGAGGCTAAACCGCCAGGCTGTCCCGTTACCTTCGACCCCAACAAGGTCCGAGAATGATGACATCAGCAGCCCTGTCACACCACCACTATCTCATGAGAGACAGCCTCCACCTCGTACAGATCTACACCAACCAATAGGAACAGAGACGACGACGACGACGGAATATTCCTCGTCAGATTCTTGCAGTGTACTTTCTTCAACAACTCCAAAGCTCTCGAGTACTCTCAGCAGTACTACTACTACTACTACTACTACTACTAAAACAGAAACATCTTCGTCTACTTCTGGAGAGATGTCCGTTGGGAATAATAACGGGAGCTGTTCAGAGAGTAGTGAGTGGGTGGAGCAGGATAAGCCCGGTGTGTACATTACCATCAGATCGCTGCCCGATGGACGTGGAAGAGAACTCGTACGTGTGAGATTCAGGTTAGTCGTCTCATCTAGCTAACTACATACTCTATATGTATATGTGTGTGTATATATAGTAAGAGCTGAATGTGAAGTCGAATTTTCAGTCGGGAGAAATTCGGGGAGATGCATGCTAAAGTGTGGTGGGAAGAGAACAGAGCAAGGATACATAAGCAGTACTTGTGATTGGATTAGGAACAAGATGAAGAGTGGTGATGAAAGAGAAAGCGGTATACTATATATATACATGTGTGTGTAATTTCAGTATTTTTTATGGAAGACTTTGTTGTATACATATTTGAATTTGAATAGGACAGCTTACAGTTTACAGTTCATAAAATTTTGGATTTAAGTTCCATCAAATGTATGAGATTAATATATTGTATTTGTATTCTTATTGTAATATCATTTCTTTTAGGGTAAATTACGTCCACCATGAGGTAAGGTCAAATTACGAAAAAACTCTCATATTTGGGTAATTACAACCATCCCCTCAACTATGAATCTCTTGCACGTCTACCTTGTGTTAGTAGAATTTTCTAGATTGTGTGGAATATTCTTCAGTTTGTACTCGTTTTAAGCTATTCGAGTTTTATATTTTGAAACAAAATGATTATACGATGTGTCTCTTAGACTTGTAAACATAGGTTGTGGCGCACAATTGCATTTTTTTACAAAACGAATGCAAACTAAAGAACATTACACGAAATTTAGAAGATTCAGTTAATTTGACGTCATAATGGTGAATATGTAAGATAATTCATAATTGAGGAGATAATTGTAACAATCCAATCGGTAGGGAATTTTTTGTAATTTGACATTAACCTTAAAGGGCGTACGTAATTTACCATTTCTTTCTTTTAATGTGTATAGTGAGCTTATTTTCATATGCTCGTATTAAACTCGATTTGATTGAAGTTGTTAAGTTAAATTTATTTATAATTTAAAATTATTTAATTAAAACCCTTGATCGAACCTGGATTTGATTAGCAGTTTGAGAGTGTTAACAGTAAAAACCTCAGTTCCCAAATTGAACATGCCAAATTCTGCTGTAAGATGCATGGCAGATTGCTCCTGAAAATGAACGCCAGTGAAATGCTCTCATCTACATCAATCTTCCGTCTCCAAATTCGTGCCTTTTCTGCCAAATTTCGATCCTACAGAAATTTCGATAGAAATCGCACCACAAACAGCAACAGAGGAATACTCGGCTGCAGTTCCGATACGACGCCGATTCGTTCGATTTCATCGGCGACAACCGCGATCATGGGGTCCGATGAAGCTAGGGTTCCTCCTGCTATTCCGCCGCCCACTCCTCCTGTCACCAAGGCGAGTTGAGTTCTCTCGATATTATGTCACAGTTCTGCAATTTTTATTTATTTTTTTAAATTTTGTGTCCGGTGTTACTCATTGCTACAGTAAACAGTACGGTGATTCATTTTGCATATTGTTTCAGTTCAAAATCGCTCTGTGCCAGTTATCGGTGACCGCTGACAAGGAAAGAAACATTGCTCATGCTCGTCAAGTAATTGAGGAGGCTGCAGGAAAGGGTGCTCAACTGATTCTTCTTCCTGTAAGTATGGATTTGTGTGAATTTTTCATTCATTGTTTGTGGTTATCTAATTTTAAGTGCTTGTGCATTTCGTCGTTTTCTTAAAAATCTCGATGTTGAATATTAGATTTATATGATGTCCATCCACTTTGATGTCAGGAAATATGGAATAGTCCATATTCAAATGATAGTTTTCCAGTATATGCAGAGGATATTGATGCTGGTGGGGATGCATCTCCTTCAACTGCAATGTTATCCGAACTTTCTCGTAGTCTACAGATCACCATCATTGGTGGGTCCATACCCGAGCGAAGTGGTGAGAAGTTGTATAATACCTGTTGTGTCTTCGGTACAGATGGCAAGCTTATGGCTAAGCACAGAAAGGTATATGATTTTTCTTCTGTTTCCTTTAAATAGAACCCCAAAAAAAAAAAACCTTGAGGTCAAAGGATGGCATTAATCGGAGTTCTTTTGTTATTTACAGATTCATCTCTTCGATATTGATATACCTGGCCAAATGACCTTTAAAGAATCAAATACTCTCACGGCAGGGGAGACCCCCACCATCGTGGACACAGGTTTTACCTGCCTTGCTTTTATTCTAATAATTAAGGATCTTCGTACCATTAAGGAAGACAATTCGGCTTGATTTATGTATTTATTTGTCTTCTCTTGTTAAATGCTAATTAGCTTGAAGTATTAATATTGGAAAATTAAAAAATGACGCTCTTATGCCACTGACAAAAAAAATCACTTGACGAACAATTTGCTGCCTGTAGGTTTATTTGAAGCCATAGATTTTCTGAATCTGAAGTAAATGTTTTGCAAGTTCAAAGTCCGTTAGTCTCTACTGGATGGATTTTCTCATTACAACGTGTCAATATATTGTCCACTTACTATATGCAAACTCATCTTCAGATTTTTAATTAAGTGTGGCATCAGTGGTATGTCTAGTCAAAATAGCAAACACCTACTGCTGGAATGCAGTCATGATTCATGAATCATGAAGTTATAATATCAGTAATTTATCATTGAAAACTTTGAGTCAACCCACATCTCATGCCAAGTCAAACATTTAATTACGATTGAAGGAGTATAAATCTTTTCATATAACGATCTGCTGCATTCTGTAATTTTATTTTCTTGATCATGTGTACATAGCAACAAATACAGTAGACAAAAACCAAATAAGCTCTTAGATGTCCATTACTCGAATGAGTTTGTTACTTTGTTTGCCTGAGGTTGAGTTTTTGCATCTGATGAGTGTAACGGAAGTCTCTTTTGGGTAGATGTTGGACGTATTGGTATAGGTATATGTTATGACATCCGATTCCAAGAGCTAGCAGCAATATATGCAGCCAGAGGTACTGTTCCTTGTGCTATCTAACTTGCTGTGAGATTAATACACTCTTTTTCTCCCTCGTTTAACTTTTTTTCTACATGGTGTATTCTTTGCTGATTGTTAGGTGCCCATCTGCTCTGCTATCCTGGGGCTTTTAACATGACTACCGGCCCTCTTCATTGGGAGTTATTGCAGCGAGCAAGGTAAAAAATGACCAATCTTCTGTGTTAATAAAAGCTTTACTAGCAAATTTTCCTAGTATTAACATTGTAATTAATTTTGTAAGTTTGGTACTAACATGTTTGCTTCTTGATGTACAGAGCAGCAGATTGTCAGGTACTTTAGCATCCCTGTTAATCCTATCTAAAATGACCTTTAAGCTTCAAAGTGGTGATATAACAAGCCAGAACTTGATATGTGTTGAAGCAGTGAAGTGAACCCTTAACCCTACCCTGCGTGTTGGATTTTTTGTGTTCTGTTGTTCTGATAATTTTACAACTTTTATCTTTCTAAGACGATGCAATTTGGAATTGTTTGCTTTGAGACTAAAAAAACTGCTTAGTACAGTAGATGATCAGTAGTGAGGCTTGTCGATGTTACGATAACCTCGTTTTACTTAAATAATTCCTTCACCAAGTCTATCCAATTTATGGAACAATATGATAATTTCACACCTGATAATTAATAGTCCTCCGGTCAACGAGTCTTTCCATACAATTATTGAATGAATCTCTATTATGTAAAAGTGCCTAATATATGTTAACAAGAGACTTGCACCGGTCAATCAATATGAGCATGTATAATTAACTGGAGTTGCTGCTGATTTTACAGCTGTACGTGGCAACTTGTTCACCAGCCAGAGACTGCGGTTCTAGTTATGTGGCTTGGGGGCATTCGACTCTTGTTGGGCCGGTAAGTATGGTGTCCCATATTTGTTATGATTTTGAAATGTTGAGAGCCACCTGAATTCTTGATTCTGGTTTATGCAATTTCAATGTGAGTGATGAATAAATAAACTTTATCGCAGTTTGGTGAAGTTCTTGCAACCACGGAACATGATGAGGCTATTGTTATATCAGAGATTGATTATTCGCTTATCGAGCAAAGAAGGTAATTTCCTAATAAACTGGAAAGAAACTGAAAAGAATTTGCAGAAATGAATTGTAATTACAGGTTTTGTCAAGAATTTGTACGATCGATTAATTTTTCGGACATGTGACTGAATTTTATTCGACCCGTTTATTTCTTGCATTGCAGATCATATCTTCCATTTCAGAGGCAACGCCGAGGGGACCTTTACCAGCTTATCGATATTCAGCGGCTGAGTTCCACAAAGACGAGTTGAGGGCTTTTTTTCATTTTACTCGGAGCAAAACATCCAACCAACTGAGTTAAGTTTGGCAATCCACACGAGTTAGGCAGATATATCGAAAAGTAACGAAAAGTAAATGCTTCTTTCTCGTAGTTCAATACAGTACAGCCATTTTGTGAAAATAATTTACTCCCAAAGAATGTTCCCTTTTTTTTCTTTTTTTTCAATTAATCGACGTGCTTAATTGCCTTCGGTTGAGGGAAATGGCAGAAGACATGTTTTCGTGCAGTCTCATGGTAGTGCTGGTTCATGCTCAAACTACACTACTTCATAAAATTTAATTCCCCTGTCTGCTTGTACTAGAAATAGATATTTCAACTTTGGAGCATCTGTGATTTAAATTCTGAGTCTGACCTTTCAAACTAACACTGTCTTTTTTAGAGGCAGTAGAATTTTTTTTGACACTGAGAAAGAACTTAAGTCTGTGCCTGTACTTGGTAAAAACAAGAATTTGCCCATCAATTACACACTGTTATGGGTGGGGGTGGGGGGTTCTTGATTTTAACCCATATGGAAACATAGTCCACCCACTCTGATTGGGGCAATCTGGTAAAAGTAACACCCTGTAAATTAAAGGTCTTTCTGGTACTGTCCTGTTATGCCATACGCACGCGTGGTTTTAAAAAAATAATAATATAACAATGAATAAATAAAGAGTAAATTATGGCGATTCCCTGAGTTAAGATCAAATTACGAAAAAAAAACCTCATGTTTGGGTAATTACAACCACCCCTTAACTATAAATCTTGTTATATGTCCACCCTTGTGATGTTAAATTTAGTGGAATTTTCGGGATTATGTGGAATATTATCCGTTTTACACCATTCGAGTTCCACATATTAGAACAAGATGATCATAAGATGTGTTGGCTTGTAAATATCAAATTGTGGTGCATCATAAATTGTATTTTTGCACAAAACGAGTAAAAAATGGATAAAATTCCACGGAATCTAGAAGATTCTGTTGAATTTGACACCATAAGGGTGGACGTGTCGAAGATTCATAGTTGATCGGTGATTTTTTGTATTGATCTTACCTCAGAGGATGGACATAATTTACCCATAAATAAATAAATAAAAACCCTTTTTTGTGAATCCTTCATTCACACACATGCACACTCCTACACTCTATATTTATATACCCTATATACTTTTGAACAGCAGTAACATAAAATTCTCAGTTGTAATAATTATACATTAGCCCAGGATCCAAGCCGTGGCATTTGGCTTTCCTTTGGTTTGTCTTTATCTCTTACCATCAATTAGTTAGCCTGTGTTGTTTCTTCTCTGTTTTCACTTCCTATATTCATTGCACACAATTCTAGTAAGTTAAGCATTGAAGCAAAACTCCTATAGATAATGGCTGTGTGGGAAAAACAGGCTAAAAATAAAGAACCCTCGTTTTCTTCATCGCTCCTCGACTCCATTTACCGCTCCATAGACGAAAACGGAGCCCCGAACGAGCAAAAAATGGAAGACAATTTTCTTCTCCACAGAAGAAACAATGCTGCCGCAAAAGTCGAAGAAGAAATCGAAAGTCTGCGAAAAGCGATCATGATCGAGAAGTGGATGGAAAACTACAAGCCCATTAATACTACTACTACTACTACTACGATGCACTTCCCTTCAAACTCGGGCTCGTCGACGGATTCGAGCATTTTTTCTTCTTCGGAAACAGAGTCCTCTGTTTCAAGATCGTACAAGATTCCGCAGCTCGAGAATAAACCCGCGACGAAAAAATCGAGGGCGCAGAAGATTTACGGAGACTTGAAGAAGGTGAGAGAGCCCGTTTCACCGGGTGGCAGGATCGCAAGTTTCTTGAACTCGATATTCAGTCCGAGAAAGACTAATGAATTGTGCTCAATGAGAAAGTCGAAGTCAATGAAAGACACAACTACTACTACTACTACTGGAACAACGACGACTGCGTCAACGAAGACATGCTCGTTGGAATCGAGATCTTGCTTGAGCAAAAACCGTTCGTCGGGAGATTGTAAGTCAAAGAGGTCCGTTAGATTCTGCATTGTCGATGGAGATTGCCAGCCGTGTGGGAACAAGAGCGGATTATTTTACGACGAAAAGGAAGATTTGGTTAATACAACGGTGGCTAATATCGGGAGCTACTTCATCAAGAAAAACACGAAGAATGCGAGGAAGAATCAAGAAGTTAGAGATTTGGATGAATTGAGCTGCGGAAGCTCGGATCTTTTCGAGCTTGAGAATATCGGTAGGTATGAAGAAGAACTGCCTGTGTATGAAACCACAAATCTTGAATTATGCTAATTATTTATTGTTATTATTCTTATTTATATATATTTTTTTTTTTGGTGATTATTCGTGTAGTAGTTACTAATAAGGATCTTTTGTTTGTCTTGAGTTTTTAGCATATAGTATTTACTATTTGGCTGGTTTTACATCTGCAATTCTATTTCATTGACACTTGTGTTTGTGTTATTATTATTTACCTATGAATAATTCAAAATTAAGATGAATTCTTGTTTCTAGAGAGAGAGAGAGAGTAAATTCATAAGTGAAATGATGAAGAGGGTTGGTTTTGTGTAACTTTGAATTGAAGGAAATATGATGTGATATTGCTGTTTTATGATGTTTGCTATGTGGGGATTGGATTGGATTTGACACAACTATACATTATAATCATCTTGTTGCAAATGTTTGTGTAGGGAAGGAAACACACACACAATAGTGTTTTTTAATTTTATTTTATTTATTTATTTTTTATTTTTTTTCAAAAGTCTTGGAATTGTGTTTTACAATGCCCAAACAATTATATAGAGAGAGAGAAGAGTTGAAAATATGGAAAGTGACTTCTTTAGAGAAGAGCAAAAGTCTTTTAGAAACCAGCACACTTCTATTGACCCAAAATAATTTAAATATAATGTGATTTTAAGGCCACATTATAAAGGCAATTTCTATTTATTTATTTATATAATTATTTATTTATAAGATATGTCTGTTAATGACCAACAGAAAGAAAAGGCAAATCCAAAGGCTTTTTTATGTGACAAACCCACAAAAAGGTCATGAAAAAAAAAAAGAAATGTTTTTTTTTTCAGGACTAAAAATAAAAAATAACAATAATAATAATAATAATAAATGATATTTAGAGAGGGGTTAGTGGATGTACACAAGACTCCACAATAGGAATCTCAGTAGTCAAAATATTGGCATCATTTTGCACATGCAACATTACTTTTGCACCACCAAAAAGTGCCCACTTCCTCCTTTTTTGCACCATTTTCAAGCTTCACAATCATATACATATATTACATATATATATATATATATATATATATATATATATATATATAATATATAATATATATTGTCCTAGGAGCATCTAGAGTTGTACTCTTTTAAGTATTTGAGGAAAATTCTTACAAATGTAATATTAATATGCCTGACAAAATAATATCTCGAACAAATATAAATATTTCCTAATAAAATTTTAAATAATAAACCATGACAATATAACCTTCTTACATAAGTTTTTTGCAGGTCCATTTGTTTCTTCATTAGGACCAATTTTAGGTAAAAGAATTGGGTTCCTAAGACTTGGGCTTTGGGCCGTTTGATGGGCTTTGCGCAAATCAAGGCCCAACCCACATTGGTACTACTAAGTATTGATTGGCGTCTTTTTACACACACTCTTTGGACATATAAAAATGCTATTCAATCCCTAGATAAGTGCAAATACTAAGGCCCTGTTTGGTTGCCAAGATGAGTCATGATTAACTAAATAGTTTGACTTAATTTTATGTTTGTTATTCACGATAAATTGTCGGGTCGACCAGTCAAAATTATATAATCATGACTTATCTTGCGTTATTGTAGTTTATCTTGTCTTCTAGTGAGTTTTTTTTGTTGAACATCGCGAGCTACAATGAAATAATTGGGTTTTAGTAGATTATTTGGGTTACACGCTCTTCTATACTCGTTACAATTTAAAACTCAACTTTCATTTTTTTTTGGAACAATGAACAAAAGGAAATTAAAAAGGCACAAGAAAGAAGAACTCCTTAATCAGTACATAAGAAATAAAAAAATGCGCAAAAGAAAAGAAAAAAAAGGAACAATTGATATATTTCCTTACGGGAATAGTATAATTTATATCCTTCAAGTTTGAACCAATTTCACATTTGGTCTCTTATATTTTAAAAATTCACATTTTAAATTATTTTTGTTAATTTTCAGTTAGTACTAATGGAATCAAGTTTGTGTCCATCATTGCCTTAATTAACGAACTAACAAAAAATCGACGGAACGAACCAAATATATTAAATTATTGAAATATAAATGATCAAGTATATTTTTTGTAAACATGACGAACCAGATGTAAAATTGATGCAAACTTGAAAGTTAAAAACTATATTTTTTCCTAACTAAAGTTAATTGAAATTTTGAGGGTAGCAACTAGCAAGTATTATTATTTTTTTAATTTATTAATATTCCACGAGATAATTTGTAATTTGGGTTTATATTATGAGAAATTTTGTGCGGCAAATAGGAATGAGATAAGCTTATCACCACAACGAAGATGAGAAGCTGCCACGTGGCAACCAACCTCTGGATACGCCTCCTATTTTCCACCTCTCAAAAAATAACACCATATTCATTTAACCTTCCTTCACTGCAACTCCATCAAATCTTTCTTCCACACACTATTACACACACTCACACACTAAAATGGCCTCAACCTCCGCAGTATCCATGGCGATGCCGCTGTCACGCGCCACCCAAAAGAGGCAAACCCCATCCGCCGATGCTTTCTTCAAGCCACTGCCGGCGAGGCTATCCTCATCCAAGGGCGGCGCCGCCGCCGTGTCGAAGTCCGCCGGGAAATTCGCAGTCAGGGCTTCGTTGAAGGAGAAGGTCGTCACGGGACTGACGGCCGCCGCGCTGACCGCTTCCATGGTCGTCCCCGACGTGGCGGAGGCGGCCAGCGGCGTGTCGCCGTCGCTCAACAATTTCTTGCTCAGCATCGCCGCCGGCGGGATTGTGCTGACGGGCATCATCGGAGTGGTGGTCGGAGTTTCCAACTTTGATCCCGTCAATCGGGCCTGATCATGATCGAGTCTCGGCATGGTGTTTCTGTGTGTGTTTTTAGTATGTGTATCTATCTATCCAACGTTTTTCCAGCCCTGTTAAATTTATGATTTCTTCTGTCAGCTTTGATTCTTCCATGAAGATGTCTGAAACAGTATCTTAGTCCTAAATTTCAGGTCTTCTTTTATTACATGTACATGCTCTCTCTCTCTCTCTCTCTCTCTCTCTCTCTCTCTCTCTCTCTCTCTCTCTCTCTCTCTCTCTCTCTTACTTATATATTAAAAATAAGATTTTATTCAAGAAGACGATTTTAAACAGAGCTTTTGTGATAGTAGATTTTAAAGATTGCATAGTGAAACTCATCTGCTGTTGCATCTAACTAACCACTACGTAGACCTAGGGGTGGAAATTGGAACCGAATATCCGATTTTCGCAGATTTCGATCCGAAATTTTCCGATTTTGGATCAATATTTGACAATCTGAATTCTGACTTTTCCGAAATTATTTGGATCGGAATTGGAAAAAATATGAAGGTCCGAAAATTTCGATTTTTTTCCCCAATATTACACTTGAAATGTCAATATTATTGTGTATTTTATATTTTAGGTGATCAAAAATTAGAAATTTCCGATCCGAAATTTTTCGATTTTGGAACAAGTTCTTTCATTCCAATTTCAGAATTTCGATCCCGATTTTTTCCGAATTTTTTGGAACGGAATTGGAACTAGTTTTCACCTTCGGAAAATAATGATTTTTTCCTAAAGGATTAATTCCGATATGATCCGTCCGATTTGTAGGCCCTTTCAGGCCGTGTTATGAAGCAGTATCTTCAAATTTCATAATAATATAGTTAGGTTTATTAAACTTTAAACGAAGTCGAATCAGCCAATGGTAACAGATCAAAATTATTGTGTTTGACAATCGATAATCGCAATTATTGCACTCCTTCCCCCTGATCTATAACCTCGTACCACACAGTACAAAATCAATCGAACCACAGGAAAACTTCATTAACACGATTAATGAGTTCGAAGGGCGAGTTATAGCCCGCGAGTGTGAACACGTCAAGAGCAGCAGCTTTTTCATAAGGGGTGCCTTTGAGGCTGTTCTTGAGTGCGGCAACTTCCGTCGGAATATTCTCGTCGGTGATGAATCCGTCGAATCTTCTAACAGCTGCGTATTTATGTTTAGGCAACTTCACTTGCTTTATTTCAGTCGAACGCGGTGTGGGTAAACTGCTGTTCTGGTACTTTTTCGGGACGTAAAAGAATACGGTGTAGGCCGAGTTTTGAACGTCGATTAGAACAGGGGTTGTCATATTGATCTTCACATTCTGATTATTGTTTCCTAGGTAGTACCCAAACAGGCTGCAAGAGAAAATTCTATTAAATCAGAAAAAAAAAAAAAAATAGAATCAGATTGAAGTCTCTATTTAATTGCATCTTTATATTCTCAAAAAATCACCAACAAAAACCACTTAGAGTAAATTGCATGCGATACCCCTCTGTTATAACGAATTGCTAAAAAGATCGTTGTGTTATAAGTATTAGCAAAAAAGTCCCTATGATGCAATTTTTTGTTAGCAAACAACCCCTAAATGCTGCGGTTTTGGAGGTGATTCGTTAATAAATTGAATCATAGGGGGCATTTTGTTTAATATTTATAACATGTGGGCATTTTATATAATTAGAATAAACACAGTGCTTGCTAAATGCAACAAAAAAAAGTGCAGGGGAGAAGAGGAAATTACACTAGAAAACCTTCATCGGCAGCAGTTTTGTACGACGTGGAGGGGATGGTAGGACCGGAAACCCATAGAGCATCGTTGTAACTTCTGATTTCAAATTCTTTCTCAGTGTGAACCACACTGTAATAAGGGCACTCTAGGCGTGCACAGTTCGGTGCCGGTGTGTAACCCTCCTCGCCTTTGCATTCCCATATAAATAATACGCAAATAAAGATCGATACGATCGCCGCTCTTCTTTGTGGGAACATTGTGAGAGTTTTGTTCTTTGATGGATTGGCGGTATTTGGATAGAGTGAAGGGTATTATATATATGTATAAATATTGGGATTTTCATAATTCATTACCATAATCTTGAAACAAGATTTTAGGGAAAGTTGAGTGCGTTATGAAATGTAATCAGAGCATATAATCTTGTTACTGATCTTCTTTTGACCATTCTTCTTCTGTGTAATTGCAATATCTTGTAGGATTGTAACCGCAAATAAGAAGTTTATAGTATGAATCATATATCACTTTCATCTTTTATTTTTCCATCACTAAGCAATATTAAGCCTCTTTTTTTTTTTTTTTTTTGGGTAAATTACACCCACACCCCTGAGGTATGCTTAAATAACTTTAAGGTCCATGTGGTATCGATAATTACACTCACCCCCGTGACACGTAGTTATTAACTCTAATGAGATAATGCATTGGATAAGTTATTACGATAGAGTTCTAACGGACTATTGGTTTCAGGAAATGGTGGAGACAACAAATAGTTATGGGTGATTTAAGAAATATTGGGGGAGCCATGTCACCCCATAACTCTCCATAACTCTATGATCTTCAACATTAGCTAAAAGTAATAGTCTATTAGAACTCTATCGGAATATTGTATCCAATGCATTATCCCGTTGGAGTTTCTAACTACGTTCCAGGGGGGAGACTGCAATTATCGATACCATAGGGACTTTAAAATTATTTAAGCATACCTCAGGGGTGTGGGTGTAATTTACCCTTTTTTTTTAATGAAGTGCTGAAAAAAACTCGAAACATCGAATTTGCAGTTAAATAGCTTTTTTTGCAGAACTTGAATCAATTGATGGCTAGACGATAAAGTTATGCAAGATTTTGGATTCGAGATGGTAATGAAGCAAAAACACCATATATCTAAACTTGATTTTCAGCCAAATACATTAATCGTGTCTTAGCGTACTCGAGCATATGTGAACTTTCCCAACAAAAGATGATAATAAAATATCGATCTCAATAGTTCATTAAAGAACATAAACGAGACATTGATAACTAAAACACATAGTAGCTGAATAATAATCTTTAATAAACATAGCAAAACAAAATTTACTGTTATAGAAGGAAAATTGGTTCATCACATGTTTTCATAGTGTACTCGTCCGTAAAAAAAAACATTACGAAGGCTCTCAAAAAGAGTGAAACAAACAAACTCCAATCTAATAAGTTAGGGATGAAGATTGATCTATGCTTCCACCTCAACCTCGGCTGGTACAGCGGTTGATGGCCTGATGTAAACCTCTTCTTCCTTTGGAGGATGAATTGTGACCAGATCGGGAAGGGGAGTTGTGGGCCCTTGCTTTCCTTTCGGGTCCCAGTCAAGCATGATCTTGACCTTGATACCAAGCACTCCCTAAACCACAAAAGGACAATAATCGTAAGTTATAAAAAGGAGATAATGAAATCCAACGTTGTTTTTTAAATAATACTATATAGAAGATTTAAAGTGTACCTGTCTGAGTAGAACGTGTCTAACAGCAGCGTCGATGTACTCTTTCACGGGCTGACCGGAAGAGATCATGTACCCATCCTTGAACTTCATGGATTTGGCACGTTGAGCTCTCAATTTCCCACTAACAATCACCTGTGGCATATATGATTTTCGATTAGTTGGAAATGCAAATCAAATTTTCGATATAGAAGAATTAAACAAAAAGACATTCGTTGAAGATATAAAGAAAATGAAATATTGTTTGACTGACTTACCTCACATCCCTTAGCTCCACTCTCCATAACAAACCTCAAAACACCATAGCAAGCCCTGCAGTAGAGCAACAAAAACCAAGTTTATTCTGCAAATATTCTCAATATATAAGGCTTAAGCTATATCACACATAAAATCACACCGCGTCTTCCGAACAAAAACAGGTTATGCTCACATGACAATATTTTACCAAATAAAATCTAGGTGGAGATGATCAGTACAACTCTTAAAGTACTATTACAGAGACCTTCAGCAGCACAAATTAAAAGACTAGAAGATGACAGCGGCAGAAGAAATGATTAACAATATTTCTACTCCATGGTCGCTGCATGAAAATTAAAAACTTCACTACAATGGTAACATGGAGCAAGATAGTTACTCTAGTCAACATCCGACACAAAGATTGGTATCGAAGAACCAAAATTGCTTTGAAGATGACTACAAGTTAGCATATTGTTAATAAAATAATAGCAGTGTGAAACAAGCTCTAATCAGTGTCTTGACATCTGCTATAGATTTTCAACATAAATTCCAATAATAACAAACATCAAGGGTTACTCAGAACTGTTACTAAAATTCAACAAATCTTTCAACTACACTAGGACAATAGGTGAAGGACCAGAAGATTTGAACAGCAAGTGAAAAGTGATGGAACGTGTCTCTTCTCCGTGGTAGCAGCATGAACACCAGTAAATTCATGACAACAATGACACGGATGAAGAAGCTTATTTTAGTCATCATCCGACACAAACATTGGTATTGAAGCCCCAACATTGCTTTTAGGATGACATGATAACTTAAATTAGAGAACCTTTTAGTTAGCATCATCAAGTAACACTCATACGTACAAAAGATTATAGTACATGTACAGTTTCAATCACTCTCCGCACCAAATTCATACAACCACAAACAACATGGAGATCGGTATTACACAATGAATACCAAACTGGTTAAAAAAATAATGAATGTCATGCAAGTATCAGATTATCCAGCAAGATGTTACGAACGGGAGGTAAAATTCATTACCTTCTGACTGCAAGGCCACCGAGGAGTTTGTAGCGAAGGGATTCAGCCTGGGCAATGGCACAAAGACCCCTGTTGTTGACTTTCTCGGCATACAACTCGACACTGTTCTCCGGAAACCTGAACCTCTTCTGAACCACAGAAGTCAGCTCTCTGATTCTCCTGCCCTTCTCACCTATTGTAAACAAAAAAAAATCAAATCAAAACAAATAAAAACTACAGCTCCGAAAAAGAAATGGAACATTTGCAAATCAAATATATTCTAAATAGCTAACTCCTTGAAATCAGCTAACCAAATTAGAAATTAACGCAAAAAAACGGGAAGAACAAAAACGCAAAAGAAATCGACAAACTACATATCAATCGAAAATCTAAGCGAATGGAATAGAAATAATCACCGAGAACGTTCTGAGTGCGAGTTGCACGGATGATGATTTCAGTCCTCATGGGAGTAACCCTAACCTCCACACCGGAGTATCCATCCTCCGCCAGCTCACGAGTCAACACCTCGTTCAACTCAGCGAAGAACACACCATCAGCCACAAACTGGAGCAAAATCAGTTCACCAAACAATTAACCACCAAAAATCCTGATTAAAAAAAAAAACAAAAAATGTATAGATTAGATCAGTGAAAAGGAAAAACCTTTCGCTTTTTGCTCATTTGAGCCGCCATTTTCGGATTTGCCGATAGAGAATGTGATAGCAGCGGCGATCTGAAAAACTAGCTCACTCTGCAGAAAATGCAAAACCTATATGGCGGTTAGGGTTTATATGTGAACGACGGGCTTATAATCTATATATATATATATATATAGAGCCTTTTTATTTACAGAAAATGAAATGTGAGTTGGCCCAAGCCCAGTTTCTGCCTGCTTATACATACCAGAAAGAAAAACGGTTTCGGCCCGAGCCCAATTAGATTCATTTATTTAACTTTTTCTTTTTTGTATTTATTTATTTTTTTTTTTTTTTTAAATAAAATACTAAGATTTATTTTAATAATTTGATATATTAAATTATGTAATAGTGAGGATGAAGTGCGTGCATTATAATCAAAAAAAAAAAAAAAAACACTTATTAAATGCCAAAATCCATACTTAAATTAAAGAAACATTTCTATCATAATCAAATAATTGATAAATAATTTTAAACTCCATTTGATTGGTCGAGGATGGTGTATGGCACGCTATGTACTAGAAAAATTAATAATATAATAATGAATCGAAATACTTTGGTTGATTAGTCCACAAATAGAATGAGTGACGCATGTAGAAACACACAGCTCAAAATCTTTACTCTGAAAACATATATCTCAGCAAATACAACAAGCACTTGTATATGTGGACTTATACATCACTTGATAGAAGCTATTTCAACCGATCGAAACGAACCGAAAATTCAGTACATGCCAAATTATTTGTCTCGGTAAATATTTTTTGCAATTTTAGTATTTGATAGTGGTATTGATGTCCGGAATACCGAATCCTATTGAATACCGAAATATTTAATAAATATTTGTTAAATTCTTTAATGTTATAACAAATTATAAAATACTTTAGATTGATAATTGGGGTAATATGCATGATACCCCTCAAACCAAACCTAATTAGATGTAGGGGACAAGCTAAATTAGAATTTTTTTATTAAATCCTTAATTCTGAATAAAAATTGATACACATCCTTTTAATTTTTTTAAACCCAAAACTACCCTTAATATAATTAATAAAAAATTACCGTATAATCTCCTTATATTACTTCCCTCTTTCTCCCCCTCTCTCTATTCTTCCGCCGCCAACCCCTCCTCTTCTTCTCTCTCTTTCTCACCTTCTCTGTTTATTCTTCAACCGCCCAAATCCTCCTCCTCCTCCTCTCTCTCTCTCTCTCTCTCTCTCTCTCTCTCTCTCTCTCTCTCTCTCTCTCTCTCTCTCTCTCTCTCGCCCCAAATTCTCTAATTCACTCTTTTTTCTTTCTTCTGATTTCTTATTATTTCCTTTTAATTATTAGATCTGAGTTTTTAAAAAATTGTGAGGAACAATAGATCTGCAACAAATGGTGGTGGCCAATTCAGACACGCGTTGTGCAGCGGCGCCTATGTCCCTGACTCGCCTTGGCCGGGATGTGGCGATTGCATCACGGAAGGGTTGGCGAGATGCTTGCGTAGATATTTTCGTTGCTTTTTGAGCGGTTGCTAGGGCTGGTTATGGTGGATGTGGCCTTTGGAGATGGTGGTGTGAGGTTAGATCGATGGTGGGAGGCGATTGCATCAATCTAGGGTTTTTTGACGACGCTAGGGTTTTGATTGACGGCTAGGATTGGTGAATAATAATTGGCGGTGGCTATGATTTCTTTGCTGCTAGGGTTTGCCGATGGGTGGGATTGTGTTTTGATGCTAGGGTTTGAAATATTACGCCGTAGTAAACCATAGTATACCGTAGGTCCGTAGTAAACCATAGTATACCGTAGGTCCGTAGTACACCATAGTACACCGTAGTAAACTATAGTTCGCCGTAAACCATAGTACATCGTAGTATATCATAGTACACCAAAGTCTACCACAATATTATTAACAACATATAAAAATAAAAATATATTTTTTTTTTGTAATTTCTATATTATAAAGAAAAAAAGGATTTTGTTTGTTTTATAACAGTGTAAAAAATGATTAAATGAAGAAACAGAAAAAAAAAAAAAGGAAAACGTGTTTTTTGTAAAAGAAAATTTAAAATATTAGATGGAAATATAAAAATATTACAGGCTAAAAAGATGATAAATGCAATTTAAATTTTAATTAATGCATATTTCGAAATTATTAATGGGGGGCATTTTTGGAATGAATTTTACAAAGGATGTGTAGCAAAGATTTAGTTAAGCTTGTCATTTAGTTCTAATAAGTTTTCTCACTAGGGACCTATATCTTAAGGCCCCTTGATAATTTTTCCAATTATTTACAAATTATCCTCTATTGATAATCAACTTTTATTTTTTGTTATTAGGGCCTGGATGTCAAATTCAAAGAATTAATTTGTTTAAATGTATATTTTTTACATTTTCTTTAATATTAAAATATAATTTCGGTTCGAAAAAATAAATTAATTCGGTTAAAAACTGTACAGAACCGAACAATTCAGTACAAAACAAGGTGGCTAAGGGATAAGGGTGAAGGGATCAAAGGTCCCTTGTCGAGTTGTTAGGGGTCACAATTGTTAGTACAAATCTGTTTGTCCCATTGGCATCTATTTATTTATTTATTTATTTTTATAATTTCCTAAGTGCTCAAAGACTAGTTTAATTTCGTTAATCTAACTGACATTTTGATGAGACTGTCGTTGATTAACTTGTTCGTTAATTTTTTCCAGTGGAGCTCGAGTTCGGGGCAAGTTTCATGGTTTATCGAACGAAGATTAGTGTTCAAATTGATGCATTATAATAACAAAACGAGCTCAAATGATCAATATTGAATCGAGTATCGAGTATTCTGATTTAATTAGAAGAGTAGTGATTAAAGAAATATCACTACAGTACCATGCAATGCATCACCTTTTTGACAAACAGAAAAAGGCAAAACCCCACCAAACATAAAGTTGCTTTACATGAAAATTAAAAAAAATTAAAGTTCAAATTTAAAACATGGTGCAGTTAATGAGTAATTAACTGTACTCAATCAACAGATAATTATTAATTACTGCATGTAAAAACTTTTTAACTAGGCCATCTCCAGCAGAGAACTCAAGACATAAAGGATTATATTATATATGTTGGTACAAACATTCTTAATCGAAAAAAAATAATCAAGAATCGAGAAAAAGTCTTCGTCTTTCCTCTGTTTTTAAGGCAGCTCTCGTGTGGCGATTCGAATTAATTTTTTTGTGTTTTTTTCCCCCTCTAATTAACCAGGCCTATGCCTCTTGTGGCGATCGGATTTCAACGCAGCGTTCGAATCACCTTCAGAAGAAGCATCCATGGATTTTGCGAAACAATTCGACAGATCAGCGTAGATATCAACAACCCTTTTGATATTACTGTTCAGCTCTTTTATCAGGCCGACGTTTCTGCTCAAATTGTCGGGAATTTTCGACTCGTGGTTCTGGTTGATCTCTTGTATTAGCAGCCTGTTTTGATCCAGTATTGTCTGTACCTGGACAAAACTCTTTTGAAATGTCTGCACAATCTTGCCATTCAAATTGCTGTCTGAAAATGCATCCCCCTCCATTTTTATAGAGTACTATAACTAATATATCTCAATCGAAATAAATGGTGCTGCATCAGAAAGAACAACGAGAAACCGTGAAATGAAATGAGAACATAAACAGGAAGAGCTAGACAATGTTTCGTAGAAAAAAGTTCTCATTTTTGGGTAATTACAACCACCCATCGACTATGAATCTTCTTACACGTCTATTCTTATGGTGTCAAATTTAACATAATTTTACAGATTACGTGAAATGTTCTCTAGCTTGTACTCGTTTTTTGTAAAAATGCAGTTTCATATGCACCACAATATGTTATTTACAAGCCAAGAGACACATCTTATTTCAAAATGTGGAGCTTCAATGGAGTAAAACGGGTACAAACTAGAGAATATTCAATATGATCTAGAAGATTCCATTAAATTTGATACCGCAATGGTAGACGTGTAACAAGATTCATAATTGAGAGGTCTGGTTGTAATTACCCAAACATGAGGGGGATTTTTCGTAATTTAACCTTAACTCGTAATTTACCAAAAAATTACTATGAAATCACAAACAAGAACAATAGCAATTATTCCCTACATTAAATCAAAAAAAGAAAAAAAGGAGGAAATTAAATCTGTAAATTCAAAGTCTTGATGCAGTTGTGGATGAGGTTAGAACAGAATTCCTTAAATAGAAGAAGAAGAAAAAGGAACAAAAATAAAGTCACATGGCTGTGACCTATTAAAGCAAACAAAGGCAATATATTATCAACCATAAAGATCTCAATTTTTTTTAGAGAGAACTGAGAAGCTATTTAATTAACTTTTACTATATTCACATACAATTCTCTCACTTTAAAATTTTTCAGTACACAGAAAACCAAGAAATGGTGTACGTATACATTTGATACATACATGTACAGACGCAGAGTGGAGTTTTAAATGATACTTAAAATTGGAGTTTATGAAATAAATAATAAAGCCGAAATACGGGAGAATTTTCCTTCAGAAACAACTATATATATATATATATATATATATATATATATATATAGAGAGAGAGAGAGAGAGAGAGAGAGAGAGAGAGAGAGAGAGAAGCACGTACCCTAAAGGACTGGGGATATAACGGTGGAGAGGACAGAGATTTAACGGTTGCAAAGATCGGCGATTTAATCGAATCTCGCCACAGATAGATAGATACACATATATGTATATATATAGACTAGAGAGAGAGAGAGAGAGAGAGAGAGAGAGAGAGAATATGAAGATTTGACACTCTCCCGACCCACCCCTCGCTCTGTCTAAATAATTCCGTGCGTTTTTTTTTTCTCACACTAAATCAATTATAACTATAATTATTATATATAATAACTATATAAAGTAAAATGAAAAATATTAATTTAAATTAAATTTACATTAATTGTATTTAAAATGAACAATCTAATTTATTTATTTATAGCTGGTTTATATGAGTGACAGTGACCCACAGCCACTTGATTCAGATAAACGATGCTGGGTTTGAGAACCGCCGCCCGTACCCACTTGACCTCCTTACCCCTCCGCCGCAGCTCCGCCGCTCTCCTCCAGAAACAACCGTTGATTTCCAATCTACGTTTCCCTCTCCGGTCATCCTCATCCATCAGAATGTCGTCCTCCGATTCCAGTTCCCATTCGAACCCCAACCAAATCATCGAGCACATCGTGCTTTTCAACGTCAAGCCCTCCGCCGATCTCTCCGCCGTCAACGCCATGATCAGCAACCTCAACGGCCTCATCTCCCTCGAATCAGTCCTCCACATCTCCGCCGGTCCGATTTCACGATGCCGGTCCAAGTCACTCGCCTTCACACACATGCTCCACTCCCGATACCGGTCCAAATCCGACCTGGTTTCCTACTCGGAGCACCCGTCTCACGTCAGCGTCGTCACCAGCTACGTCAAACCCATCGTTGATGACATCATGGCCGTCGATTGGATCGCCGATGACTTCTCCGGATCGCCGGCTGTTTCTCCCGATTCGGCATTGCGGTTGACGATTTTGAAATTGAAGGAAGGCGCAGGGGAGGGTGGAAAAGGCGAGGTTTTGGGGGTTTTGAAGGGGATTCGGGAGAAGTTTCCTTCGATTGAGCAGCTGACTGTTGGGGAGAACTTTTCTCCGGCTAGGGCTAAGGGTTTCTCGATCTGCTCCATTGCGGTTTTCAACGGCAGGAATGAATTGGATGAGCTGGACGCGCAATCGGAGCTTGCGAACGAGCAGAAGGATAAGGTCAGGGAGTTTCTCGACGGTGTTTTGGTGTTGGATTACGCCGTTGCAGCACCGGTTCAAGCTGCTACCCTCTAAGCGTGATTTAAGGTCAATGTAATCGGAATATTTTCGTTAAATTGTCTTTTTATGTCTTTCGTTGGACGGTTTTTGGATTTGTTAACTAGGTAAATGGAAATAATTTTGTTGTTTACATTGGTTATGTACTTGAGATCAAACGACTCGACTTGAAATCAATGGCACACTGAATGGGAAAAATCGAACAATTAAAGTTCGATTTTGATTGCCGGATTGAATGCTAAAAGGAAGGTTCAAAAACACTAATCTTTGTTTCATGGGATCATTGTTTTGGAATTTCTTGATATCATTGAGAATCGAGATGAATACGCTTTACAAATTACGTCCATTCTTTTAGAGTCTTGATTGTTGCCATCTTTACCTAATCAAGATAATTTTTGAACCACTAAAAGGAATATGAATCGTATTCAATCTCGGACCGATAAATCTTAGCAAGAATGATGAGTGATTAACTGATTATATATAGCTCGAGGGTAAGAATGTATCAGGTTTTCTAATTTTTATAGTTGATAGATGAGAGTTGACGTGTGTTCTTCTAGATTCGCTAACGGCAGTTTCGGTATTTTAAATGGTTCCACTTGCCATAACTTGCGGATAGCCTATCTTCTAATGCTCCCTGTATACATGCACACGGTTCGTGTGAACGTGCATTTGTTTGTGGGTGCTGTCTCTACCTTTATGTGTTATTTGGCGTACAAAGGATTTTGAAAAGCATTATGAAACACGTATTATATGCTGTATATTGTTGAAAAGTGAAGTGATTATATTGTATTGGGTAGGATTTAAACTTTCGATTTGTTGGTTTAGTTCAAGTCCTGAAAGGGGTTCATGTTTTAGTCAAAACTAGGCAGAAACGTTGGACTCGTGGATCCAATTTGGGACGATTTCTTTTTTTTATATGATTTTCATCTTCCATAGCATGCATTCTAAGGTAGTTCAGTGTTTACTGTGTGGAATTAGATTCAATAAAGATCCTTGTTTCAGATTCCTTTCTTGGTTAGTAAGTTGGAGACGTCTATTAGAGGTGAATTAGATATGCATGTGTTGTTTACTTTTCTCGGGTTGATTTTGGCAGATGCGATGTGTTTAAGGCAGGCCCTTGAAGAAATTTTCTCTGGATACGAAATGAGATGAGAGTGACGAGATCTAGAGTTAATGAGTCGTAAGAGTGCTGAATGCCGTATCGTTATTCGTTACACATCAATTTTTGTTCTAGATTTCTGTATGGATTCTGCAAGGAAGTGTTTGGTTCACCGTTTTCAAACTTTTGGTGGTGAAAATCGACCGTTTTTACTTGTGCATTTGAGAGGTGGGCTCGGCGCGCTGTATATCAATTATCACAATGTTAGTGTGTCCTACACTGGTTATTAAGTGAAAAACTGACGTTGTGCACCCCTACCTCTCCTCCTTCACTTTTCTTATGCAACGTTTGCTTGGATTGAAAGATTTGAAACAAATAAATTTAAAATAATTATAAATGAGAATATTTGAGATGACTCTACATTGAAAAATAATGTAACAACAAAGTGACAAATACATACAATTATGGTGAAGCTCTATAATTCAAATATGTAATTCATTAACTTTGGCTTAAGATATCGTACAATTAGTGAATTACACCATGTGTTTTTAAACTGTAGATCTACATAAACACACGTACACGTGGTATACGAAAGAAAATAAAAGGGCACAATTGAATAAAATAAGAAATTAAAATAAATAGGAAAACGTGTTGTTTTAGTTCATTCTAATTTTAATAATTGATTAAAAACTATTAGTATTCAATTTGCATGATGAACCCTGGTTTTCATAATTCACTTTGGTGTTGAAGAAATTTGCAACAAGTGAAGTCACTATTGAATAATATAATTATATATTAGTGAGGATGACCCACACCAGCATCCACTTGATTCAGATAAAATCATAAAATAATAATGATGGGGATTGGCTCGCACGCACCCACTTCACCAGAGTTCACCTCCATTCATCACCGCCGCTTTCATCCACAAACCACCGTTGATTCCCCCCATCTCCGCCTTTATCCGCTCGGAATGTCGTCTTCCGATTCAGAGTCCAACCCTAACCAAATCATCGAACACATCGTGCTTTTTCACCTCAAGCCCGACGCCGACCCCTCCGCCGTCGACGCCATGATGAGCAGCCTCAGCGGCCTCATCTCCCTCGACTCAGTTCTCCACATCTCCACCGGTCCGGTTTCCGGTCGCCGGTCCAACCCTCTCCCCTTCACCCACATGCTCCACTCCCGTTACCGGTCCAAATCCGACCTGACCTCCTACACGGAGCACCCCGCCCACGTCAGCGCCGTTGCTAGCTCCAAACCTATCGTTGATGACGTCATGGCCGTCGATTGGGTCGACGACTACTTCCCCGGCTCGCCGGCTGTTTCCCCCGGCTCCGCCCTGCGAGTGACGATTGCGAAATTGAAGGAGGGCGCGTGGGATAGCGAAAAAGGCGCGGTGTTAGGGTTGTTGAGGGGGGTTAAGGAGAAGTTTCCTTCGATTGAGCAGCTGACTGTTGGGGAGAACTTTTCCCCGGGTAGGGCTAAGGGTTTTTCGATCTGTTCCATTGCGGTTTTCAAGGGGGAGAATGAATTGAAGGAGTTGGATGCGCAATCGGAGCTCCTCGAGATCGAGCAGAATGATGTTGTTGATAGTGTTTTGGTGCTTGATTACGTTGTTGCAGCACCAGTTCAAACTGCTAGCCTTTAAGCGTGGCTGCCACTGATTGTGCAGTAATTTGCAGCTTCTGTGGTTAACGGTAATATTATCAGAATCTCTGTTGTTTTCATTTGTATTTCTATTTCCTTTTGTTGGTTGATTTTGAAATGGTAATTAGGGAAGTGAAAATAATGTAGTTGCTTAAATTGGATATATACAAGAGAACAAATTACTCGACTTGAAATGAACTCGATCACTTCAGAGCGACGAATGGTGAAACAAGTTCACTTATTGTTTTCAATGATTTTATAAGGGCTTGCTGTAATCATTGTTTTGGAATTTATCAATATCATCAAGATTTTTTCAATGATCTTATTTGTTCTTACGGCATTGGCCATTTAATCAAGGGTCAATTTATATGCTATTTTTTCTGTCTTGTTTTTGGCAGATGTGATATGTTTACAGCAAGGCCCTTGATTAAATTCTCTGGATAGGAAACCAGACAAGAGAAACAATGTTTCTGATGGAATGGAACTTAAAACAATTGGTATCCAGTTTCTTGCGGAGATTCTTCGAGTTTTCTCCGTGCTAAATGTTGTATCATGTATGATTGATTGTTTTTAAGTTCTGTATGGATTCTCCAAATAAGTGTTTGGTTAACCATTTTCGAAGTTGTCCTACAAATTGTCCGTTTTTACCTGTGCTTTCGAGGCATTGAAAGAGGGCCTCGATATCATTGCCTTCATGCATACCGAAATTTCGAGGGTACATACACCAAAGTTCGATTTATATATCTCCAGATATACGCCAACATACTCTATGCTTATTATTTAAAAAAAAAACATACTCTATGCTTGAACCTCCTTTACAATGGTATATCATTTCAATTTTCGAGTGCATGTTGTACACGAGCACTGTCGACCAGGCATAGCATAGATGAATTGCTAGTAAAGCAGTTTTAAAATTGCAGTACTACACAAGTACGTCGGTCCTACTCATCACCAAAAATGACCACTTACCTAGTAAGATAGTATACAACAAGGAAAATAACCACGAAAGATGCAACAAGAGTAAACATCCTCCGGCTTGATTTGGTCTCGAACACCTGCAGTGAAGTAAGGAGTTTACACGCAGGCATGATGAGAAGTCCAGACGAAAAGCAAATGAAACATAAATGAATTAAGCCTTAAATCGTACGTACCATCTTAAATTTATCCATTGTTCCAGATAAAACTCCTCTCGAGGCATCCATGTCATTCCCCTAAATTCAAATGTCAGTATTAGGACAAAGTGTCTACAGAGTAATATTGGACAAGTATTCAGGAACAAGATTTTATAACAACATACAAACCATTCCATCCAGCATATGGTTATGAGACTCGACTTCCCCATGTATATCACCTGACAACTGTTCACATAAAAGGGTAGTCAGCACGTAAATGACAATAATCCCGGTTGCAATTTTCTGATGCAAATAAGAACAAAAAAGGAAAAAACTTAACGAAACTCAAAATCAAGCACACACAAAAATAAGTAATACACGGGGATGAAACACAGAGAAGAGGGCAACGGCCATTTAAGATTTACTCACTTTGAAAGAATTAAACGATTTGATGATTCACTCATCACTTATTTTAGACGGACCAACTATTGGGTTTCAAATGATCAACCAACTTATGATAAGTAATGTGCGACTATTTAACTCCAAAAAAATCTTATAGCAAAGCACCATTTTACTAAAAATAAACATCACACCGACTGCCATAAATTACAATTTCCCAAGATGTAAACATAAAAAATCGCACCCTAAAAACTTCCCCATCAACTTAAACCATTTACAAAAACCTAATCCAACATTCATGGGAAAACACTTTCATCTCTCAAATTACACCCCACCAAGATCTACATGGACCTCTGAAAACTAGATTCCCGATTAAAACATCTGAACCAGCCCAAACCAAAGAGACCAATTAAATTATAAATTCCAAATAAAACTCACCCTTTTCAGCAGATTAACTCGGTCTTGTAGTCCATCAATAGCCCTCTCGTTTTCTTGTTCATCAATCTCGTGAGACGAGTAAGAAGATGATGCCCTTATACCTCCTTCCTCAATGCCATCAAAAAGAGCAGCTCTCGCATTACGATCCCTGAAGCTAAAGACCATTACAAATTTTAGAACACGGATATCAACAAAAAGGTAATAATCTGTTTAATTTTTCAGAGGATAAAAGTAGCTCTTGATAGCAACACATATTTGCCCCCGATTCAAAACCTCACACGCAAAATTCACCATTCCCTCCGATTACTTAGTTCACATGCAATTACGGTTCAGATATTTGAAAATTGAAACAGATTGAGCGGGAGCAAAAACCTTCTGGAATTCATTGCTGTTGGGGATCGGAGTATCCGGATTCAGCTAACTGAAACAACGATCACACCGCCGCAGCTAAAAACACCGTAATCCTGCGGCATCAAATCGAATTCAAGCACTATAAAAAAGGAGAAATAGCGAAATCCGAATTGATTTGTGATTTTGTGAAGCCATTGATCACACAACAAATAAAATTACTGAAAAATCTTAGGATTTTTAATTTTTACAGCGATTAAAGCGCTGCATTATACAAGAGCGAGAGTTCGTATTCAGATCTAAACTATCGATGGGAGCGTACCTCAGAACAATTAAACTGCTGAACTTAACCACAAGAAATGGGGAAAATGCAGAGAGATGAAAAGAAGACGGAGACGAAAAATAAAATAATTAATTAAATAAATAGCCATTAAAGTAATATTGGGCTCTGTGTTTATGGGCTTTGAAGTAATTCAAAAGTATAGTACACTATTTAGGGGCTACTATCAGGGCCCGGCCCTAATTAGCCTTTTAATTACGGGCCTTTTCACTAGTTGACTTCCTTCCCTTTAAAAAAAGACAATTTAAAATCATTAAAAATCTAATATTCAATTTTAGTGGTGAAAATTGTAAATGGGAATGAAAAAAATTGTTTCGAAATTATTAATTTTTAGAATGAAATTTAGAAATTTCATTTTATTCAAACATATTATAAAATATATAATGAGATTGGTTATAAATGTAATTTATGAAAATTGAAAAATGATCAAAATCGAAATGGGAATATAATTAGATTGTCGTTTTGTTATTTTGATTGAAATATTTATTACAAGTGATGGTACGGATAAGTTAATATACGACCACGTGTTAACTCATGGTTCTGAGAGATGACATTTACAGTAAAATTAGGTGGTTGTTTTTATTTCAATCAAACTGTTTATTACAATTGTTCGTATAGAGAAGTTAATAAACGAGCACGTGTTCGCTCGCTGCATCCCTGATTGACTGAGTTTATAAAAGAGTTGGATTTTTCGTATTCATTTTGATCAAAACATTTATTACAAGTAATGGTACAAAAAAGTCACAAAGATCACACACGATCACGAACTCGCTCGTCATTTTTATATATAACATTTACAAGAACATTAGGTTATTGTTTTTATTTTGATAAAATTGTGTTATTACAAGTTGTGATCATTGTCTGTATTTTAGGTATATATATATATATAAAAAAATACTTCAAAATTATGGATTCTTTTAAAATTTAAAAATAAAAAACACCGCTAATAAACTACAAAATTTCCATTAAAAATAAATAAATTAAAATATCTAAAATTAGGGTTCATCTCACAAAGCAAACTAGAAATTACATCAGATTTGAAAAGATTCCCTTAAACTTTCCTCGTTCGTCATCAACGCATCCCCCAAAAAGCATCTTATTAACAATTAGCCCCCAAATTTTTTTTTTCATCACACTATAAAGGCAAAATAAATATCCCGCTATCCCAGAAAAACCCAAAATCTGTGATTATGTACGCATTGATGTCGCACCTCTGGGGGCATGCTTAATTGGAAGAGAGCTAGGGTTTCTTCAGCTGATTGATTGATTTCCCTGTTCGAATGGTTCAGAGTTTAGGGTTCGTTTGATGATTGAGTTATGGCATTCGTTTACATACCGGTGCAGAATTCAGAGGAGGAGGTGAGAGTGGCGCTTGATCAACTCCCCCGCGACGCTACCGATATTCTCGACATTCTCAAGGCGGAGCAAGCTCCACTCGATCTCTGGCTCATAATCGCTGTATGTTTATATCATCTCGTTTCGTTATGTGTCTTTTTGTAAATTTGTGAATTTGTTTGATTACAAACATGCATGTGAAAAAATTGAGGTTTTAAAGACATAACTTTGCGCCTAGGTGAAATTCAGAGTTTTCGGAGTTGGATTTTGTGTTTGCTATGGTGTTTATGTTTTGTGTAGGGAGTTTGTAGTTAAAATTCCTGCAACTTAGAGTGTGTGCGGCTAATTTATGCACAATGAATGTCTTGCTGGGATGCCGATGTAGGGCGGGTTTATGATGAATATGGAACAACATATATACATGGATATGTTGTTTCTTTGGGGAAAAAAAAAAAAAGAAATCTGCTTAAAAATGGTTAGATGCCCTTTAGACCCTTAAACTTTGTTTGACATTGTATCCTTATAGAAATTGTTCTTTGTGTAATGAAGGTGATGAGATGAAAGCATACGCTCGATATGTATATCTGTAGGAGAGATATATGCATGTCTGTGATTCTATTGAACTTATTTTATTGTTTCTGATTGCCCTTATAAACCAACCTTTGCCTATAAGTGACTCCAAGAATGAAAATTACTTCTTTAAAGCCCTTTGTTATTTCATAACTATATATTCCTGAGGCGGTCACATTCTGTGCACTGTGGCAACCTCTATTTGGAGAGCTTTTTAAGAGGGTTTTTTTTTTTTGGGTGTGTGTCTAGTGTTACTGCTGTATAATATAAGATGTAAGTTAAAATAGCTATATAGGTGCAATTTGAATTTGTACCTCTTTCCAGTTTTTGACAAGTTTTCTTTTTTGGGTGCAGAGGGAGTACTTCAAACAAGGCAAAATAGAACAATTTAGACAGATATTAGAAGAAGGATCCAGTCCTGGTAAATGTTCTTCTAAAATATTTAACTTCTGATGAAACAAAGAATTACATTTTAATTTTTTTGAAGGTGATTGTGTGTTATTAGTTCTTTGATTATTTATAGTAATTGTCAATTTTCAATGTTTTGCAGAAATTGATGATTATTATGCAGATGTAAAATATGAAAGGATCTCCATTCTAAATGCTTTGGGGGCATATTACAGCTACCTTGGGAAAATTGGGACTAAACAAAGAGAAAAGGAAGACTATTTTATACAGGCCACGAAGTACTATAATAAGGCATCAAGGATTGACTCGCATGAGCCTTCAACCTGGATAGGGAAAGGTGAACCTTTTTTTTTGCTACAATCTGGATGTGAATCCTAGTTTTGATTATTGAATTTGTGCCTATTCTCGAATAGGGGTTCGTTCTTTGTTAAAGAAATCACCTTAATCTAATTATTTAGTTTGAAGAGCGAAGAACCAGTATAGTTGTTATGTTCTTTATTAGGATCTAATGGAAAATCTTATGCACCTAGCTGTTTTCTTCCTGTCATTGTTAGATTTAGTGTTTGAGGATATTCAACTTTGAAGTCTTGTACGTACTGAGATATATTCCTAGTTGTGGCATATTGTCTACATCAGTTTAACTTATGGGCATTGCTCATTTATTTTGATCTGTCATTTAATTTACACAGAACTTGATCTCTGCACTTACGACAATTTCATGTGAATTTGAAAACTTATCACAAGTTAACTATTGAGTGAAGTAGCTTCCTGGCCAAGTTAATTTACATACAGCGCAGTTTTCTTCCATCTTTTATTACTTTGAACTTTCATGAAATTTAATGAGTGGCATTTGGATTGTTCCATCTTTTGTATCTTTTTCTTGTCGATCTTATTGTTTGTGTGGTCTTTGTTTTTGAATCTTCTATTATTTCAGGCCAGCTTTTACTGGCAAAGGGAGATGTTGAGCAGGCATTTAATGCCTTCAAAATTGTATTAGATGGAGACCGTGATAATGTCCCTGCGCTTCTTGGTCAGGTATTTGAACTTTTATACATGTTCTTAACACTGGCTCTTGATTAGCAGTTTCATCCATTTTCCTTGTTATGTGGACAATTAAGTTAGCATTCACCACTCATATACCCTGGATTAGTGACCTCTAATTCTTAGTTAGCAATTAGCATGCTTTCTTTACCTTTACTTTCTGGGCATATGCTGTTTGTTACCGTGTGTCTGAGGTGATTTGAACTCCACGTTGAAGTATATATTACACTTCTTGGTTGGTTCACATGAGGGTAAAAGAGGAAGGTTTCTTAGTCAATGTTGTTATGTCCCTTGCAATGTGGTAGTAAATTTGTTTTCTTATGTAGTTAAACTTCAGTTTCATGGAGTCGGTCTTTTGTTCCCCATGGTAAAATTACTCATCCTCTTCCAACGGTTCCATATTCTAAATTCTCATATCCAGCTTTGTCAGATGGAGTCCTAGGCTTTATATTAAGATTTCTTGACGCGCACAGGCCTTCAGATCTCATTCAGTCATTTGTCTTACATCTTAGGAGGGATGTGAAAGCATATGCTATGTTACCATGGACTCACTGATTGCCTGCACTAAAGTCTAAACCAGTCTTTCTATTAAGACTTAATTGTTTCCTGCTATGTACAGGCATGCATTCACTTTAGCCGTGGTCGATTTTCTGATTCATTGGAGTTGTACAAGGTTAGTTCATTCTCTTTTATACTATTTGAAGTAAGATGTTCAGTCAACTAGTGGTACTATATCTTTATTTCTCACTTTCCTTGTCATCTCTACACCATTTTTTAGAGAGCATTGCAAGTCCATCCTTGGGCTCCCTCTGTAAGAATTGGCATAGCTCTCTGCCATTACAAATTGGGTCGTTTTGAAAAGGCAAAGCAAGCATTTTATCGTATTCTACAGGCAAGTGATCACTGACTATGAGATCATGCACCATTAAGTTTTGCGTTTTGACAATCTTTTAACTGCAGTTAGATCCAGACAATGTTGAAGCTCTTCTAGCTCTTGGAATTTCAGATTTGCAAAGTAATGAAGGTCAGTTTCTTTTCTGAATTAGAATTCTGGTAATCATTCTGTGTCGGATGGAATTCCTGCCAACCAGGGCTAAGTTTATTGGTTCCTTCATTTTTTCTATTTTTGGGATAATCTTTGTTCTGTGCTCAGTTGAGAACTTCTACGAGTTTTTTTTTTGGCTATATTTGTGAACATCTTACTCATATCTGACATCAACTGTTTGCAGCTGTTGGTATCAGGAACGGCATGGAAAAGATGCAGGCAGCTTTTGAGATTTACCCTTACTGTGCAACAGCATTAAATTATCTTGCTAATCATTTCTTCTTCACTGGCCAACATTTCTTAGTTGAGCAACTCACTGAAACTGCACTTGCTGTAACTATGCATGGCCCAACAAAGGCACATTCTTACTACAATTTGGCTCGCTCTTACCACAGCAAGGTTGGATACTCATCCAGTTTCCCTCTATATTATCTGCGTTTGCAAATTTTTGCTTGGTTAAAAGTTGATGTAGAAGTTTAATATTCACACCTCTTTCTTTTTCTATGAACTTGTGATTTCCCATGCTGGCAATTGGCAAGTTATGTGAACTTGTTATAATTTTATCATTCTTATTATCCTGACCGTATATTGTAATTCAATTGATTTCAGGGGGACTATGAAAAGGCAGGAATGTACTATATGGCATCTGTTAAAGAAAGCAACAACGCGGACGAGTTTGTATTACCTTATTATGGTGTGTGCAGATTAGCTTATTTCTATTGTACTCTGCACATGGCTGAACCTCTCATTGTCATAGGGATGAAATGTTGATCACTGATTCACTGTTGTGTCAACTAATGCAAATTTAAATGATAAAGTATGCCATGACATCACTAAGATTAGCTTATTTCTACTGTACTCTGCACATGGCCAGACCTGTCATTGTCATAGGAACGAATGTTGGTCACTGATTCACTGTTGGCAATATATTTTTCTTCTCTAAATGGTTGGTTGAATACTTATGCTTGCTTGAAATAGGTTTGGGACAGGTCCAACTTAAATTAGGAGACCTACGAAGTGCTTTGACCAATTTTGCAAGAGTCCTGGAGGTTCAACCAGAAAATTGCGAGACACTGAAAGTGAGTACATAATTATTTTACAGTTCAGTTTTGGAGCTTTTTGGTATCCCATGTTTTATTGAACGAACTAATTGCATTTGCGGTGTAGGCTCTTGGACATATTTATATTCAGCTTGACCAGAATGAGAAGGCCCAAGAACTATTTAGGAAAGCCTCCAAAATTGATCCTCGAGATCCTCAGGTAACCACGGTTCTTGCACTTGTTTTTGCTGTTTATCTCTCCATTTGATGGTTTTATTACAACTTATATTGTGGTTACCGTTGCAATAAATAGCTAAATGTCTTGATAAATATGGCATCAAATTGATGCAGCTGCCTGTCAGTCAGTCTCTTGAAATTATAACAACATAATAAAATTGAGAAATATAATTTATATGAAATAAATACATTGGTTAAAGTAAGAGTTTTGAAATGGGTCAATTTCTGTGAATATAAATAAATAATAATGTAAACTAACAAAAAAAGTGGTATTTGGATAGGGACAAGTTTACGTGCTTCTGACTTTTATTATTCTGATCTGACAAAAATCTTTGCAGGCATTTCTTGATCTCGGTGATATGTTAATATCAACAGATATTGCTGCTGCTTTAGATGCCTTTAAAACTGTAAGTGCGTTCATACTTCACAGTCTAGTGTTGGTGGGTTATTACCAGAGCTAAAGGTTGCATATATTTTCATTTTTCTAATTTTTATGTCTGGGGAAACTGTAAAAATTGATCTGTCTTATTCACGAGTAATGTAATATTTGTAATATTTTATCTAAAAAATGAGGCAAGCCCATTAATCAGAATAACTTTTACCTGGATAGAGATGGTAAGGAAGCTAAATTGTTGGCTTGTCCAACACTTGAACATATAATATATCATGTACTGGTTATGGTTGTTCTAACTTTGTGGATGGTATTCATTCTATTATGCATTCCAAACCACAAACAATTTAGATTGACAACTCCTCTATACTGAAGTCTGCGGTTTTTTACAGGCTCGTAATCTACTGAAAAAGGAGAATGAGGAAGTACCTCTAGATCTGCTTAACAATATTGGCGTTCTTCATTTAGAAAGAGGAGAATTTGAGGTCTGTACACATTCTTGAGACACTCTTCAGTTTGATACATTTCGATGTTTAGGCCTGATTGTAGTTGTTTTGTCTGCAATGTATTCCCTGTCCCAGCTTGCCAGCGAAGCATTTAAGGAAGCTCTAGGAGCTGGGATTTGGTGCAATTTTTTTGACGCCGAAGGGGATTCCATTTTAAACATGGCACAACCAGATGTTAAAGGAGTCCGAGCTAATTTAATAAACAGTGCACAATACCCTGTTGATGCCAGCGCAAGTATTCATCAGTATAAGGACTTACAGTTATTCCATCGGCTTGAGGATCAGGGCCTATCGATGGAAATTCCTTGGAGTAAAGTTTCGACATTATTCAATTTAGGTAGAGTGTTCGAGCAGATGCATAACACTGAATCAGCTAGCATGCTATACCGCCTGATATTATTTAAGGTATCAATGTTTCTCCGGTCACTTTGTAGTTACTCATGATATTATGGGTGTATATTGATTGCAATTCTTCTGAAACTTAGTTTTGTTATCTAAATAGCCAAGTACTATTTAATGTTTCTAGAATGTCTATTACAGGAATGGCACTAGAGGATAACTTTGCTCTTTGCATTTGTTTGTTGCATTTTAATGGGTTTTTCATTTCATTTTGCTTGTATGCTCTTGTTCACACGATTTTTTTCTGACATTCGTTGTTAATTTCAGTATCCAGACTACACAGATGCTTATTTGAGGCTTGCTGCCATTGCAAAAGCTCGAAACAATGTCCAAATTTGTCTCGAACTGGTTGTTATTTTTCTCTGATTTCTTTTTTATTCAGCATTCATTTATCAATATTCTGTCTTTATCAATAATATCATTTTCTTCTTCTGAAAACATATATTTGTTCATAGATTGGTGATGCCCTGAAGGTGGATGAGAAGTGCCCCGATGCTTTGTTAATGCTTGGTGACTTGGAGCTTAAGAATGATGACTGGGTCAAGGCGAAAGAAACTTTCGTGGCAGCTAAGAACTCAACTGATGCAAAAGATTCTTATGCTGCAGTTTGTCTGGTACAGAACATATAGAATGCTTTCATATTTTACATTCTTGTGATAATGTTATCAGCAATTAATACGTACTAAAAACATGGTGCGACATATAGAGTTATTTTCAGCTCTTTATATATATATAGATGTATAACTTCATATCGTGCATCGGTAGGAAACTAAAGTTCTTTTTCATCATTTCAGAGTTTTGCGCCGATCAAGTTTACGCTCACCATTTCATTCAATAATTAATATCAACTAGCAATTAATAACTTGCCTTGATTTCTGCAGGGCAATTGGAACTACTTTGCGGCAAATCGCAATGAGAAAAGAGCTCCCAAGTTGGAAGCTACACATTACGAAAAGGCCAAGGAACTGTATACAAAAGTATACTAACTACCTTCTCTATGTGGAAACCACTTAATTGAGTAGCTAATTTTATATTCTCTTAAGAATTGAATGAAGGTCTCATTTGCTCTTTACGCAGTGAGCTGAAAGCCTGAAACCATAGAAGATTTGTTTGCTAATTTTTTATATGCTGATGCGGCATTATTAACTTCCCTTTCTCTTTTCTTGTTTGTATCGAGGCTTGAGTTTATACGCACATGATTCAATTTCTTGACATTTATTTATTTATTTCATCTTGCCAGGTTCTGCTGCAGCAATCTGCTAACCTCTATGCCGCCAATGGTGCTGGTATGGTATTTGCAGAAAAAGGTCAATTTGATATAGCTAAGGATCTGTTTACACAGGTTAAACTGCAGTTTTGGTAAACTAGTTGTCACTGGAAGAAAGATCTGTATTTGAGTGTCCATGCTCTGCTTTCTGCAGGTTCAAGAAGCTGCAAGTGGAAGTTCTAATGTCCAGATGCCAGATGTGTGGATTAACCTTGCTCATGTTCACTTTGCTCAAGGCAATTTTGCATTAGCTGTGAAAATGGTTAGTTCAGAATTTTACGAGATCAAATAACGTTTTTATCGTCATACCCATTCACCCTTACGAAAAACCATGCTTCACTTTTGCAGTATCAGAACTGTTTGCGCAAGTTCTACTATAATAATGACAGTCAAGTGCTTCTGTATTTATCACGTACACATTACGAAGCTGAACAGTGGCAAGACTGTAAAAAGACTTTACTAAGAGCTATCCATTTGGCTCCTTCCAATTACACATTGAAGTTTGATGTAGGAGTTGCTCTACAGAAGTTTTCAGCGTCAACACTTCAAAAGACAAAAAGGACTGTGGATGAGGTCAAACATCTTATATCTTATTCCATTTAGGCTTGACTTGTACGAGTAGAACCTTTTTTGGTGTCATACATTGATTGATTGTTTTTCCAATGTGGCAGGTACGAGCTACAGTAGCAGAACTCAAGAACGCTGTTCGTTTGTTCACTTTGCTGTCGACAGCCTCAAACCTTCACTTTCATGGGTTTGATGAGAAGAAGATTGAAACTCATGTTGCATATTGCAAGCACTTGCTTGAAGCAGCAACTGTACACTGTGACCTTGCTGAGCGCGAAGAGATGCAGAATATCCAAAGAATGGAGGTCATGCGTCAGATGGAGATGGCCGAGGAATCCCGCAAAAAGGCAGAAGAGCAGCGGAAAGTTCAGGTGATTATTCCCTTTACTATTTGAATGAGTAAACTCACTCTTTTGTTTCCTTCTACTCAACTTTGAGTTTTAAATGCAGATGGAGAGAAGAAAACAGGAGGATGAACTGAAGCAAGTTATGCAACAAGAGAAGCATTTGGACCGCATCAAAGTAAGGGATAATGGGTGCTCTCTACCAATTTGTTTATGTTATATTCTGAGCCCTTCTTCAAAACTGTTACATTTTTACATTTCTATTTTCTCTCTCTTATATATGTGTTTTAGGAACAATGGAAGAGTAGCTCTTCTGCTCCAAAGCGCAAAGAAAAACCACAGACTGAAGACGAGGAGGGTGGACACAGTGAAAAAAGGAGGAGGAAAGGGGGAAAACGGAGGAGGAGGGACAAGAAACCACGCTATGAATCTGAGGAAGTCGAAGCTGAGGTGGAAGATCAAGATGATTTGGAGTACGACGACACCAATCTGGGCTACAGAGAGGAGCAATATAATGATACAAATGACGTGGAAGATAAAGAAGACGTTCCCCAGGATCTTCTTGCAGCAGCTGGCCTTGAAGATTCTGATGCTGACGATACTGCTGTAACTCTCTCTCTCTCTCTCTCTCTCTCTCTGTGGGTGTGTGTGTGTGTGTGTGTGTGTGTACTGATGTTTGTCAAAGAAACATAACTTAAATTGTCCTTCATCTCTTTTAGACAGTTAAGGATATGCCATGACTATATTTTGCTTTTTCTTACACAAAATTGTCTGAGTAACTCGTTTTGTTTCATCTCTTGTGGTGAAAGGCTGATGCGCCTTCAAGTATGAGTCGACGAAAGGCGGCTTGGTCAGAATCAGATGAAGAGGAAGAGCCATTGCAGAGGGAGGCAGAGCCAGATCAGACGGTGGATATGCAGGAGAGTGATGGAGAAGTGAACGGAGATGGTGGTGCTGATGACGAAGAATGAAAAACTCCCTTTTCGGTTGAGTTTCTTCTGAAGCCATTCATATATATAAAGTTAGAACTGGTGCCTGCACAAGCTCAAGCCCACAGCCCTTTTGATGTAGTGAAGTAACAACACACATAATAGTGCAATCTTTCCATATGTTGTCAGAATTTACATGTACTTGATCAAAGTTTGATGCATGGACTTGAATTTGGAGAGAGAGAGTATATTTTCTAGGAATTAATTGGAAGGTTTTTTTTTTTTTTAATATATATATATATATATATATATATATATTTATATAGTTTGCATGTTTGGGATGGACGGATTTGATTAGTACTCAAGAAATTGTTTAACTAGCTTTTTAATAATTTGGGAGATGCAGATTTACAAGTGTGTGTGTGTGTGTGTGTGTGTAAAAAGCCTGCAAAAAGAGTCTGAAAAAACACTTGAATAAAGAAGGGGCCATGTAAAAAAAAATGAAGTGAAATAGAACAGAGCATCTTTCTTCTTTCCCCAGTGATATGTGAATCAGAAACGGCATCCCCATAAATCTACATTATTCACCCATTCCTTTTTTTACTGGTTTCAGTTAATAATAATATAACTGTGTATTGATCTATCTTTCCCGGGTCTAACCCGACCCATTACCATTTCAAACACAACCGGTAACAAGTCCATTATGGAATAGCTGACAGTACTTTCGAAAACATTTATCAGAAAAATTGCAACATTTACCAGCCAAATTGAATGGGCTTGTTGAATAGTGGTGAGGGTGTGGTTGCAAAAAGCCAAAAGAGTTTACTGTAGTTGCGCCACAGGTTTTACTGTTAGGGAAAAGGCCATAAATCAGTGGTTTGAAAGTCATGACAGAAAGAGCCAGTATTTCAGTCAAAAAAGGTAGAGAGCATCTATCCTCTCAAGTAAACAGAAAAAGAAAAGCACACACATCATCATGTGGCAAAATTTGGCAGTTGCCTTCAAACAAAATTAAATACCAGTACCAGTAAAATAGCACAATTCAATACATTATATTATATATATTGCAGAAAACAAAAATAATTATAATAACTAAATAAAAATGCATAGTGATTCCTCAGTTACTACTTACTACCCCACACACACACACACACACACAAACAGAAGAAAGAACAGTCAAACAGATAACCATTGTCCCACCAAAGTACTTTCTCTGCAGCTCTTTTGATTTTTCTGAAAGAAAATTTACAAGGAAAATGTGAAGTGTATGTTAGTATGATGAACAAGTGCATGTACGTATGGTTATATGAAGTATATATTCAGTTATTCTCACCATTTTTCAGTCATGAAGAAGTCGTGTAGAGAGTTCGGTGCCGATGCCGAGAGGTGAGTCTTGTTGTTGTTGGACAGTTGGTGATGCTCGGAATCAGGCCAAGAATCAAGAAAATGATGCATCACTTTCTTGGGCTGATGATTATCTTCTTCATCCCTGTCGTCGTTGCTCAACGGCCGCCGCACATGATTATTACAGCTACTGTAGTTATTATTATTAAAGTGATCGTGGTGGTTTTGTTGCCTGGTAAGACTTTGTAGCTGCTGCTGCCAACTTTCGAGACCAGAAGAATTATAAGCATTGCTCTGTTTCATTTGCGACAGTTGCCAAGAAGCAGATTCACTCACACCATTAGAAGAAGAATTAATCCCCGACGAGAAAAACGGGTGCTCGTCTGTTTCTGGTCCATTTCGGTTTCTGCATTTACACCATTTTCAGTCAGCAACAAAAACATAAAACTAATCAAGCACTAGTTTAAATAATATATGTATTATATAAGTGGGAACCTGTAAGGATTGGACTCCATGAAAAACTTGGTGGCACCAGGTCTGGAGGATGAGGAAGGGGTATTATGGGGATAAAGAAAATGGGATTGAGCAGAAGAAGAAGAAGAAGAAGAAGAAGAAGAAGAGTAGTTGTTGGTAGTGGGAATAGCAGTATTGTTATTATTATTAATATTAGTGGGTGGTTTTGAGGAGAGAGTGATGCTTTCCACAGGCTTTCTTGAACGGTTTCTGCCTCTGTGCATGTGCCTCTCACAGTACTTAGAATCTGGATAAGCTTCCTTCGAGCATCTCCATTTCTTCCCATCTGTTCTTCTACACCTCCCCGGTTCCGGGTCTATTTTTCGATGACCGTATCCCATCTGTTGTTCGTATTGGTATCCATTCCATCCTACTGCAAAAACAAAATACACACACAGATACAAAATAAAATGAGCTACACATATACATATTATATAGAGAGAGAGAGGGGTGTAGAGAGAGAAAGAGAGAGAGTACTCATGTGTTGAGGAGGAGGAGGGTGGTGGAGGAGCTTTGAGGAGAGAGAAGAGTGGAAGCTAGTTGTGATGGTGAAGAGGAGATCTTGTGGGATTTGAAGTCCAGAAATCATGTACTTGAACACAAGTGCTTGGTGTTCAAGTTCTTGCCACTGTGATGTTGTGAATGGGAACATATTCTTTAGAGAGAGAGAGAGAGAGAGAGTATTTGGTATTTGGTTAGAGTAAATGGTTTTGAGCAGAGTAGGTATATTTATTTCAGAGCAACCATTGGTGTAGCAGAATCTTCTTCTGTACATGGATAAAACTAATGGTTCTCATCACATCGCTGCCACCTCTTTCTTTCTTTCTTTCCCCATCGTTATTACACAAATATCATCTATGTATGTATATATATATACACACACACACACATAGAACAGAGTTGTGTCTTTCTCTCTCTTCTGCGTGTGCACTGTGCATATATTATTATGACTACTGCACAAGTTCTGTGAGCATCTGCTGCAACTTCAGCCTTTATGGCAGAGCTCTTGTCTCTGACAATAATACGGAAATCCATAAACTAAAGAAGACCCAGTATTAGAAAATATATAAAGAAACAAGTGATTTTAACTTTTTTTTTTTAATTTAGATTAAATTAAATTATATTTATTTACTATGCATCCTCAACCATTTGAATAGTACTATTAAATGACACAGACCCACCTTTTACATACTTTTCCTCCATTGTTACTTTTACCACTAAACTGCAAACCCAGCCCACTCTCATTTGGGGGCCTTTCTTTATTTGGGCTACTGCTTTTCATTTACCTGAATAATACCAGACCTCTCTCTTTCTCTCTCTCTCTCTCTCTCTCTCTCTCTCTCTCTCTACACATATATATCTACACACACACACACACACACACACACAATATCAGCAATAATGTTAATTGCAATAACATTATTTGTTGGGGATGTAGAAAGCACAACATTCATTACCAGAGCTACTCTGCCACAACGTCATTCATTCATTAACTTCTTTCACTTGTGTGAGAATAGCTACTTCTCATTTACCTTAAATGAAATAATTACTTCCCCAACAATAAATTTTCAGTCCAGTCAAATGACAATTTCAAATTCATTTATGCCAACGATTTGGCTTCCATTAAAATCAAACATCGTTCTACACCCAAGCTTATTTATTGAACGACTCAACTAGTTCAACTTGTTCAACTTGTTCATACAACATTTCTAACTAATGTGTAGTTGAAAATGATGTTCAATTTGTCTGAATTCTTACCTTTATACGAGAGGTCCTTGGTTGCCTCTTCCTTGCACGAGCATTAAGATCCAAAGAGAATCTGAGAAAACGTTGAAGACACGTGAAATTGTTAAGAGTAGGGAAAAATAGAGGTAATTATACATGTTTTGTCGCTATACATAACCGTCCCTAAACAAGTATAAGTTACAACGTTGGTCCTAAACGTGGTCATTTTTTTTAACACTTCGCATCCTACCGTTAGTTTTTGAAATTACCTCGAATGGAATTCTGACGTCGATTTGTTAGTATGGATACGTCACTAAATCACTCTTGACAAATGAAATACTACTATATGCCGTCACAGCTTAAATACTAGTCACTTTCATTATTCAGTTTAAGAGAGTAATCATCGTGGCAAAACAATGGTTATTGTAACTTAATACATAATGAAAAATTGTACATCATTATAATTGTCGCTAATATTATTTTTTCTTGCAAGTCATAATGTAATAAACGGCACCATTTATTCTTAGGAGTGATGGCATGAAAGATTTGGCATCAAGAAAAGTGGTTTTATTCAGTTTTCCAGTAATTGAAGTTCCACGATTCCAAATCTATCAAGGTTGACGATCTTTTAATGGCTACCTAAAATAAAGGTCAAGAGATTTACATGCACTTTTCATGGACAATACAACGAGGATCTATTACCTATTCTACATTTATGTATTTGATAGGCATCACATCTTTCTGCAGAATATATTTACCTAGTACATGTCCACCCGAATAACAAATGAATAAAAAGAAAGAAATACCCAAACTGATAAAGAGTAAGCTGGTAATCTTGCTAATCGGATATCTATCCCTTCGACAAGCACATCATCATTCAAGAAAGAAGTATACACCACTTTTATGCTTATAAAAACACTATAGTGAATTCATGACAAACATGTAACACAAAAGCAAATCCAATGAATATTTGGATAGTATCAAAAAAGGAAGCTTAATTAGCAATCTTTAGATAGGTAAGACTAACCAAACGTACAAGAAATGTTCTGCCTAATGCAAATTTTAGAAGTAGTTGTATTATGAACAGTTGTTAAAATTCAAGACGAGGCAATCACATCTTAAGACAGGGTTGAAAACGTAGATCTAATAAAGTACAGAGACAAGTCTATCGACTATCAAACAACCAAATAATCTAGACGAGATACATATCCTAAGAGACTCGCAAATACACATATGATCGAACATATAAATATATACGCAAAGAGATAATCAAACAACATCCACAAATATTTAGGCTTCAAAGAGTAATACAAGTAACCAACAGCAACATAAAACTATGTATACGACAGTTGGAAGTAACAATCCTGCTTCTTCATCAACATATTAAATCACATCGCAACAAAGCCATAACACGTAATATATGACGGGAAACATTGGTCATTGAAATAAATCAGTGCAACATACCCGAGGCAAGTTTACACTCTTCGCTTGTAGCCCTGGCTTGCTTAGCTTGACAGTTGACACTCAATGCCTAATTACAATATCACAAAAGAAAAACTTATTGAACACACACACACACACACACACACACACACACACACATATATAGAAGATGAAACGGAAATATTAGACTCACACAGATCCATGATACGATTCCTGCAAATAGCACAATCTGCATAAAAAAAACAGATTTTAGGTTTCGAGCACTCCAAGGAATTAGAACACAAATTTGTACAAGGAGATTTGAATTATACATAATAAAACGAATTAGAGGTAAGATTGGGATCGATTGCATACCCCAGTCCTCGAGAGCTACGGCGTTCCACTTCCTGATCTCGAATCGCTTGGGTTTTATTGCTAGACGGCGTCCGGTTAGTGCTGGAAGGACCGTTGCCGGAGGATCCCTCGCCGGCGGGGACCATATTCACGCCGGTATCTGCTGACGCCATCTTCAGCTTCTCTAGGGCACCTGATTCCCGTTTTCGTGTGTACTTTGCTTTTGGTTCGAAATTCGAAATTCGAACAGTGAAAAAATATATATATATAGAAATTTTTTTATATAGATGAATATTAGTTGTCGGATTGGGCTTTAATTGGGCCTGAGACCCAATTTTATGAACTACTTCTAAATGGTGAATAATATAAGAATCACAGGCCTTTTTCGTGTCTTTATTTATCTTACAAGGCCCACTTCATCTAATTTTGTAATTTCATTTTTTTTCCAATATTTGTAATTTTTTTATTTTCTTAAAATAAATTATTGTCATCCAATAGATATTCGTTAAAGATCATAAATCAATATGAATTATTCAAATAAAATATATCAAAGAACAAATAATCTTAAAATAGAATAAAATAATCTTAAAATCTCATCTCATTAATTCCAATTACATAGATTTCATCTCTTTGTATGTAACTAGCTAGAGTGCATGCATGAATGGTCTAAAACTAGTTAGAAGAAGAAGAAATTACATGAATTAATGTTAATGTGAAAAATATGAAACTATATATTAAAAAGAAAATGTAAATACGAGTTTCCTATGATATACGGTAGAAAATTTTCACATAAGATTAATATATAGAAGACTTTTACTCGGCGCCGTAGAAGATAGGCAAACCACAAGATCCACACATTTTATTTCCAGAACTCATCTTCCCAAACGACAAGCTGACTTGCAGAGATATATGTCTTTTTATGCCCCCATATTAATTCTATCCACAATCTTCCATCAAATTCATGCATGGCCTGGTCCACATTTTGATATTTCAAAAAAAAAAATTACTGCAATTAATCCAGCACATGTTAAGGAAATTCGAGCTTATGGTATGAATGAATTAATATTTGGTAATATACAATAAATATAGAAGTTTGGTATTTGCTTTCCATAGTATTATACTCTTGATGGAAAAGGGGTTCGTATTGGGTACCGTTACATTTGACAAAATTGAGCTTGGAAATTATTTCAATAAAATTCGGGTTGGGTATATATATTATCGATTTATCTACGTATTCTTTATTTAGTTATTTATAGACGTTTGTATTAATTATGTAACATCAACATTCAACATAGACCAAACAAAAATCCGAGTTTTATTCCAATAAGATGCTGATTGAGAGCTGCACATTTGACTTCCATTATTATTAAGTATATGCTACTCGGGTCGTCGTCCCACAATATAATGAATGATCTACCGGTCGAAGCAAATGCCAATTGATCCAAATTCAAATCTGATGGCAACGGTCGTTAGCTTACGTCTCTCATATGATTTGCAAGCTATTATACGAGAATTTAGGTTTACTCGTAAATTAATTCTAATCTTTTAATTTATGAAGCCGAAAAAAGAGTGTATTTGTTTGCTTGCGGTGAAATGAGCTGCTGCACGTGACAGCCAGCCAGAAAATATGTCCTTTCTCTAGGCCACTACCCCATACACACATGACACATACCACACCCACCATGCATGCATGAGAGATAGAGCAAGAGAAATATCACTCTATTTAACTGCCTCAAAAACCCTATCAACAAACTGCACCCACAAACCCAAAATTCTAGAGAGAGAAAGCAATTAGATATACAACAACAACAATGTCTCTTCACTATCTCGTCATCTTCTCCCTCGTCCTTCTGGCCGCCGCCTCCTCCGACGCCCTCGTCCAGGACTTCTGCATCGCGGACCTCTCCCACCCCGCCGGCCCGGCCGGCTACCCCTGCAAGAAATCCTCCTCCGTCACCGAGAACGACTTCTTCTTCCACGGCCTCGCCGCCGCCGGCAACACCAAGAACATCATCAGCGCCGCCGTCACCCCTGCTTTCGACGGCCAGTTCCCCGGCGTGAACGGGCTCGGCCTGTCCATCGCCCGCCTCGACCTGGCGCCCGGCGGCGTCATCCCCCTCCACACCCACCCCGCCGGGTCGGAGATTCTGGTCGTCATCCAGGGGACCATTACCGCCGGCCTCATATCGTCGTTCGAGAACAAGGTGTACATCAAGACCCTGAACAAGGGTGACGTCATGGTCTTCCCCCAGGGTCTGCTGCATTTCCAGATCAACTCCGGCAAGGGTACTCCGGCGCAGGCGTTCGTCAGCTTCAGCAGCCAGAACCCCGGTCTGCAGATTACCGATTTTGCCCTCTTCCAGAACGATTTCCCGACCGAGTTGGTGGCCAAGACCACTTTCCTCGACGTGGCCCAGATCAAGAAGCTCAAGGGTGTGCTCGGTGGCACTAATTAATTAATTATTTCATCATTTTCAATCAATGATTTTTATGTTTAATTTGTTTGTTGATTTATTAATGTTCTGTTAGAGAGGCAACATTTCGTTAAATGTAGCCTTAATTGGACCTTTTTTTTCCCGACCGTTTTCTAGTCTTTGTCAAATGTTGTTTTTGTAATAATTATTGCATTCCTTTTCTCTCTCTCTCTCTCTCTCTCTCTCTCTCTCTCTCTCTCTCTGATTTCTTTTGTAATAAGTGGGCCCATCTTTATATTGTTCGGTACTGTGAAATGTGAATGGATGGGCACAATTTCGCCCGATTGGGGTTGCCTTATCTTCTTCGAAATTGTGTTGGGCCTTGTTGGATTTTTGGCCCAATGAATTAAGTTTAATTCAGCTCATTAATGGTTGTTATGAGACGGCCCGACAGTACAATGGGCCCACTTATTCAATCAAATCCTTCGAAAAATCTAAATCTTCGATTCTTGCCATTTAATTTCACCGACCGATCCAAACCGTCCACTCGAGGCAAACCCTACTTTATGATCTTTCTTCGGGCAAATTACAGTTTTCATCCTTCAAATTTGCACATATTTCATATTTGGTCTCATATGTTCACAAAAAACACATTTGGTCCCTTACGTTTCAATGATTTAAAGTTTTTGGTCATTTCCGTCAATTTAGCGTTAGTATGTTAGTTAAGTCATTGATGGGAACACGCTTGATTCCGTTAGTTTTAACTGAAAATTGACAGAAATGACTAAAAATGTTGAATTTTTGAAATATGAGGGACTAAACGTATTTTTTGTGAACATAGAGGACCAAATATAAAATCGGTGCAAAATTGAGGGACGAAAACTGTATTTTTTCCATCTTTCTTCTCTCCCATTTTGAAAGCCTCCTAAATTGAAATTGAACGTATATTTAGATAATATATGTATAACTTACATAATTAGTCCATGTAATACATTCAAAAGGCATTCCTTGTCAATACAAAAATGTCCTTAAGATATCAATTAATTTTCTTGATTTTGTTGGGCAATCTTGTCATTGACATACGAAGAAAATAAGGTTAGCATTGAGAATTAATGATGAATTTAGTTCTTTCTCTCTCTCTCTCTCACACATTCACCTTTACACCTAGACAGCTAATTGCAACATAATTGTTTTTTTAAGACCCTACCAAATAACATGAAATATCTTCAAGAATCCAGATATGTACCTCTCTATATATAACTAATTGTGTTATTATGGTTGTTAATTACATCGTCTAATCATGGATACTAATTAAAGCCACCATTATTTTTTTTGGGATGACTCATTGTCCAATGTTAAAGGCAATTCTATTATGCGGCGACATGTTTGAAGAATAATTACATACTAATGATTAAACTTTTTTCTCCTCCCTGTTTTTGTTATTGTTATTATTATTAATTTATTTATTTATTATTATCATATATCCTCTAATCATTTGTTTGATTACAATTTAGAAAATTTAATTTGTTAGAAAATTCAGTTAATACATGAGAACAATTTACAGGGGTGACTTGGCCTGGTAACAGATATCAGCCAGGTGGGATGGCAAATGGGAAAAGAACATACTGCTGATTGTATGTATTTGTATATACACCTGTATAGAGAGAGAGAGAGAGAGAGAGAGAGAGAGAGAGAGAGAGAGAGAGATGATGTACGTAAGCATATATGAGAAGAGGAAAAGGGAGTTTGCTATTACTTCGCCTCTTCATCGCCAGTCTGTCAACACCATCACAATCCTACCTGGCTGCTCTCTCTCTCTCTCTCTCTCTCTCTCTCTCTCTATATATATATATATATATATATATACTCTCTCTCT